AGGGGAGAGGCAGGGGCAGGGGAGAGGCAGGGGAGGAGAAGGGGAGGAGGCAGGGCTGAGGCAGAGACCAGGCTGTGTGGATTCCATCCAGCCAGTCTGAGAACACCAGCCCATCCCACCTGGCCTCAGAGCCCCATCCCTCGCAGAGGGTCTGGTTGGAGGGAAGACTCCTCGCCCAGGTGGGAGGAGTCCTCTCCAGGAGGGAGGTCTCCCAGCTCCCGCTCCGCCCCTCCTCCCCAGGTGGAGGCGCACGTGAGCGACGCGCTGGCCAAGGGGGCCACGCTGGTGACGGGCGGGAAGCGGCACCCGCTTGGGAACAACTTCTTCGAGCCCACGCTGCTCAGCAACGTCACGCGGGACATGCTCTGCTCGCGGGAGGAGACCTTCGGGCCCCTGGCCCCCGTGATCAAGTACGACCGCTCGCCGAGGTCGCGGGAGGTGGGAGGCCGGCGGGGGGGGGGGGGGGGGGGGGGGGGGGCACCGGGAGGGGCCGTCGGACATGGTGCTCGGGCCTCAGTGCCCTCAGGGCGCTCTGCTCTGCGAGGAGCCAGCTGGTGATGCGACCCCCAGCCGGGCCTGGCACCGGCCGTCCTCTCCGCCCGTCTGGGTGGCCACAGCCCTGTCCCTCCCCGTCGCGGGGAGATGAAGGGGGAGCGCACTTGGAGGAGGCCGGGTGTCCGCGCGGCTCCCTCTGGTGGCTCCCTCTGCTGACGGACGCCCTGCTCGCCCGGCAGGTTCCACACGGAGGAGGAGGCGCTGGCGATCGCGAACGCGGCGGACGTGGGGCTAGCAGGTGGGTGTGCGGCCTGCCGGGGGCCTTGGCCCAGGAGCCGGCTGGGCCGGAGGGCGGGGGCAGCGGGCAGGTGTGCGCTCACGCCTTCAGGCCTTCTGCCTCCTGGAGCCGGCAGGAGCCCTGGGGAGGGGGGAGGGAGGCAGGGGGAGGGGGACGGTGGAGGCTGAACGGTGGTTCCAGGTGGGGACTCAGCCTGAGCCCTCCCTCCGGGTGCCAGACCGTTTCCAAGTGAAAGGGCAGAGGTCACGCCCGTCTGTCCGGTGTGTGGACTCCGGCCTTTGGGGGAAGGAGCCACACTATGGCGGCGACTGAGAGGACGCGCATTAAGGATGGGAACAGGCACAGGGGAGGGTCGTAGCCAGGAGGGAGCCTGGGGAGGTTGCCTTGATCCTTTAAAGAATTTTAAAAGGATCATTTTTATTGATTTCAGAGAGGAAGGGGAGAGGGGAGAGAGGGAGAAAGAGAGAAACATTCATAATGAGAATCATGGACCAGCTGCCTCCTGCACGCCCCACCTGGGGATTGAGCCTGCAACCCGGGCCTGTGCCCTGAGCGGGAACGGAACCCTGACCTCCTGGTTCCTCATTCGATGCTCTACCCCTGAGCCCGCCGGCCGGGCAGGCCCTGGTCCTTAGGAAGGATGCCCGGGTGCGAGAGGGACATCGGCCAGGCCCAGTGGGGTCTCGCTGGGAGCCGGGCGCGGCCAGGCCGGAGGGCGGAGGCCGAGGCGGTGCCCTCAGCGCGGACAGGACGCCGCGTCACGTCCGGCACCCGTCCCTCCCGCACAGGCTACTTCTACTCCCAGGACCCCGCCCAGATCTGGCGGGTGGCGGAGCGGCTGGAGGTGGGCATGGTGGGCGTCAACGAGGGGCTGCTGTCGGCCGTGGAGTGCCCGTTTGGCGGCGTGAAGCAGTCGGGCCTCGGGCGCGAGGGCTCCAAGTACGGCATCGACGAGTACCTGGAGGTCAAGTACGTGTGCCTGGGCGGCGTGTAGACCGTGCCCTTCAGGACATGGAGGAGCTCGCCGCGCCGGCACACGCTGCCCTGGCTTCACATGCACCTCCGGTGCCGAGCTGCAGCAGCCTCTGTCCCTCACCCGAGGTGTTTCCCATCGAGTTTAGAGACGTGGAGGGGGGGGACACTGATGTGAGAGAGCCGGTGATTGCCTCCCACACAAGCCCTGCCCTGGGCGGGCATCAGCCTGAACCCAGGTGCAGGCCCTGGAGCTGGAATCAAACCCTGACCCTTGGTCTGCTGGCGGGCACCTGAGCCAAACCCCGCCCACCGGGCCAAACCCCGCCCACTGCGCCTAACCAGCTTTTAAAACTTGACAAAGGTTTTAAAGCCCATCCAGACTTTATCTTAACCAGGTGGGAGTCCTTCCCCCCCCCCCCCCTTACTGAACTAGGTTCATCTGGTGCCCGTGCCTGTAGCTGCAGACTCCCCAGCCCCAGCAGACTCCCCGAGACCCACCACAGCCCTAACTGCCTCTAGCAGAGGGCAGCAGGCACAAGCTGGCCCAGAGACCCCTCCCAGGGCTGGTGACCTCGGGAGGCTGAGCTTAGACTAGAGGAAACACCCCCCACCCCCCACCCTCACCTGGAGGGCTCAGCTGCTGTGCACTCTGTTGTGAGTAGCTGTTTACAGATTTGTGCCGTGTTCTCTGCTTCCCTGCCCTCCCTTCCTTGGTGGGAGACCCCGTGAAGGGCGGGGGCACAGCGCGGAGCGGCCGTGTCCCTGTGAACTCACTGTCTGTGGTTTGGCCGTCAGAGTAGCCGGCCGAGGCCCGTGGCCCTCCCTGAGGGTGGGGCCCAGGTTACTGCGGGTGCCACCGCCCGGGGCAGCCCTTTACTCGACGTCTGTGCGGGGACTCGCTGTGTTGTGGGTGAAACCTGGGGGTTCGTGGGGAGTGTGCGGACGTCTGTTCTCCCACTGTCTCCTGTCTGCACAGGGTCACTAATAAATGAATTAACGAACTTCCTGTGTCTGCCTTCAAGTTGGCGGTGAGGGTTTTTCTGGCCGGTGCATCGCCTGAGCATGGTTTGGGCACAACTGGCCCAGCTCAGAAGGAGGGAGGGGACCAGAAGGTGGAGTGCCGGCCTGAGGACACCGGAGCTGGAGGCTCTGCCTGAGGTTTTAGGGCACATGTGTCAAACACAAGGCCCGCGGGCCAAATCCGTCCAGCCAGGCCTTGCAATGTGGCCCTCACCGCGCTGTCATCACTGCACTCCACTGCGTTTCCATCACAATGAGTTTATGACTGTTCAGTAAACTATTCAGCCCGCGATTTAGGCTGGATTTTAGATTTTGGCCCCTTCTCTGATTGAGTTCGACACCCCTAGTTTAGGGAAACAACACGTGACACCCCCTCTTCTGCACTGGAGCTGAGAACGGGACACAGGGTTCACACAGCGGGAACACGATGCTGGCGTCATCGCTGAGAGACACTGGGCTAGGGGCTGGTGAGAAAGGCGAAGGGATTGCGCGGATAGCCGTATGGGGACGGGGAGGGGAGGGCGGCAGGAGTCTGGGCTGGCGGCCCGCGCTCCGGGCAGCGTGCAGATGTATACGGAGCTGTACACGGGAAACGTGTACGGTTTAACCAATGTTGTGCCACTACGTTCAATTACAAAACCCATAAATAACTTCAGTTTTAAAGTTCTTGTCAGACACCCACAGAGAACGCTACCTAGTCCAGGTGTTGGCACACGGCTCGCTGCCTGGGTTTAGTTATTTTATTCTAATTAAACAGAAAATTCCCCATCCGAATCAAAGTGGAAGGAGGGGGAGGAGGTGGGGGGAGAGGCAGGTGCTGTTGCTTTTTTTTTGGTTTCTTAGTATTTTCCCATTTATTTATACATCTTTTGTTAATCCGCACCCGAGGATATTTTCCCGTTGACTTTAGAGAGAGGGGAAGACAGAGAGGAATATGGATGTGAGAGAAACACGCCCTCACCAGGGCCTGGGCAGGGGAGGAGCCTGAAAACCAGTGCGTGCCCTTGATGGAGCCCGGGTCCCTTCAGTCCACAGGTGGACACGCTCTCCCCAGCCGCACCGGCGAGGGCAGCTGCTATTGGTTTGGAAAGCGGAGTCTGCGGCTCCTGGCATGCACGCCGCCCCCTCCCGCACCCACAGCCCGTCCTGCAGGCTGTTCACGCGGCACCGGACCCCACAGGCCCACCGGGATTCAGAGATGCTCGTGCACAACTTACAAAGTGCCTCCGATGACCCTCATGTCTAAGACGTAAATCTAGAAATAGCCCACCCGAGAACTTCCCGTTTCTACTTTAAAAGGGAGCAAACGGGAGAGGAACCAAGATGGAGGCAAAGGTTAGCACCTGAACTTGCTGTCTCGCACAACCACATGCAAACTACAACTAAAAGAAAGAACGGATATCATCCAGAACCAGGAGGGGTAAAATGTCTCCTGGTACAGCTTTTCACCCTCTTGTTTCTATGTGGTTACTGAACAACAAGGCCAGAAACTTGGGGTTCTGAGGGCGGGAGGAGCTGAGGTCTGGAAGGTCCAGGTGCACCCCATCCTGTCAAAATGGCGCCTCACCCACTGAAACAAGATTCCGAGCTGCAACCCCAAGGAGGAGGAGGTGAAGGACATAAGGCCGCTGTGCTGGGAAAACGTGAGATTCCGAGTGAAAAACTCCAGGGACTGCAAACAGGCTCTCGTTCTGCACTGAGCGCCCCCGTCGCTCCCTCACTGTCTGTGCCCAGGTGCTGGCACAGCGGCCCCCCGCCCGCCGTGTTCCTCCCACAGGTGAAGTCACGGATGCAGCCAGAAACAGGAGTTAAAATTCAATCCCCTCCCTGGCCCACAAACACAAAACCAACTATAAGCAAGTACATTTCTTTAAAGCACCTTTCTCTTAAGAAGAAAGAGGAAAAGATAAAAATTATGATCAACAAACACATATATATCAACAAGTGAATCTAAAAATCAAGTGAATTAAAAATCTGAGGAACAGAATAAACTGGTGAATATAATAGAATCAGAGGCAAAGAAAGGGAGTGGATCATAATTATCGGGGAAGGGGTGTGGGAGGTGCAGGAAGAGACCTATGGATGAGGAAGATGGGGGAGGGGTAAGGGCAGAGGGTGGGGTGAGAACTGGGTGGAAGGGAGCTAAGGGGGGGGGGGAAGAAGAAACATTTGTAATAATCTGAGCAATAAAGATGTATTTAATTAAAAAAAATAAAGTATCTTTCTTATGGGAAAAAATGATCCCTTAAAGCACATTTAAAAGTGCTCCCCACCTCTTGTAAAATAATTCCACTTCAGCATAGCAAAACTAAAAAGGCTGTTTCTCTTTACACAGTATTCTGCTCTCGAAAACCAGTCCAGAGCGGCTGTAAACAGACTTTCACCCCATCACGCCCAACCTGGCATCTTGGTCACACAGATACAGATATGAATTTCAGTGAGAAGGAATTTAAGTCAGGAGTTCATGCACAGCTCACCAATGGGGCAGGTCAGCTGACACAGGGCAGCGGTCACCTGCTCAGATGCTCACGGCCTGGCACCCAAGACCCAGTGCCCGGAACCACAGCCTCCCGGTTTCCCTCTTAAAGACTTAGAACATTCACCACTGTGGTTCCTGATTCCACGATACATCAGCGATAAAGGCTGGCCCAGAGGCAGTGCGATGTAGCACTGGGGACAGATGACAGCCTCCAGCCCTCCCGCCAGGAGACCTCATGTTCTGAACACACACACACATCCCCTCGAAATAAACACGAACACTTTGTTCTGAAACCTAAGGACGCAAAACACAGTTTTCCCTTCTCCACTGATGGTCCGATATATTCCTTCTTCCATATCAAACCTGACTTTCCAGAGGGGCAGGAATTCTCTGTGCAAATAAATCTCCAGCACAAAACCACTCGGAACACGTGACTTGCACTGGGAACACTTCACAGGATGACGTCCCAGGTGCAGAGAAGGCCCCAGTGGTCACTGGGAAAGCGGCCACAGTCCAGCTTCTCCAGCCCCAGGAGGTCCAAGCTCCGGGGGACGAGGCGGCCGCCTCCTGCGGCCGGAGCTCTGAGGAGGATCCGGTCGAAGCGGTGGCGGCAGGTGGCGCGGATGCCGAGGTTGGAGTTCAGCCGCGTGTCCCAGGTGTACCGGCAGTGCTGGGGTTTGCCCAGGAGCTCCCACACGTCCGAGATGCTGCCGGGTAAACCGCCCCACTTGGTGACCTGAAAGGACAGGAAACTCGGTGATATGCCGGTGTTTTCCCCGAATTAAAAGCATGACTTGGAAATATTAAAAACCTGCAAATAACAGCATTACATCATCATAGTCTAGACTATTTTTTCCTCTGGCTCTATTTTTGTTCATTAGTTTATGTTGTTTATTATATATATATAAATATGGAAGATTCCATTTATATGATCCACAGTCAATTGCCTTCAGTTCTATTTGAAATTTACTAACAATATTCTTCCTTTTTTCATTCACACTTGTTTTTTACTTATGGTAAGTTACACATAAAACTTACCATTTAAAAATATACACATACCAATGGCATTAAGTATATCCACATAATTGTGCAGCCAGCCCTTTTTGATTTTTTTAAAATCAGGTTGCCTTTTTTGAAGAATTTCTAACATTTTAATACAGATCATGTCTGGTTCATTCCAGCCTCAGTGCCAACCTGGGGCAGGCACTGCGTCAGCTTCTCCTTTCGTGGCTGCTTAGATGTTGAACGTCATAATACGCTGGTTTTCCTTGATCTTGACAACCTGGCAAGCTTTGGCCTGGCTGTGGCAGAAGTCCTTCATTTCCTCCATTATGTGAGGCACGCAGTCGGCACAAACAGTGGCAAGAAGTGAAGAGGATGGAAAAAATATCAGGTTTTTTTTTTGAATGTCAGGTTCTTATTGTTGGCTTTTCGGTGAGCATTCTTTACATATTCTGAGTACAAACTGTGTGTCGGATACGTGATTTGCAAACAGTTCCCCGAATTCCCTTTTCACTCCACCGGCGCACACAAGTTTATCTCCATGACATCCACCCTCCCTCCTTGTTCGCGGTATCTGTGCTGCTGGTGTCGCGCTCAAGTCACCGCCACTCCCGTGCCAGAACGCTTCCCGCGTTCCTGCTCTGACCGAGGCCGCTGGACCACGCTGAGAACTGCCACACGGGATGTGAAGGCCCAACTTCACAGGCGTGCCCATGGCATCAGGCCCGAACACCACTTGTTAAAAAGCGGGATTTAAGTCAGTCAGTCCCTCAATCAGACACCAGAAACTGCCGCCATAAACAAGTCCATCTGTGAACAGCCGACAGAAGCCACCGTGCCGGACCCGCACCCGGAGGCCGGCCGCCTCCTTCCCAGGCGCTGCCTTCCCGGGCAGTCTGCCCGCACGGCTCTCCCTGCCCCCCGTCATGTCCGCTCGCTTTCCGTCTGACGTGCGCTGGGCCACGGGGGGAAGGCAGGTTCGAAGGCCATAAAGACTCTGAGAAACCTCTCGTCTCAACTGGACGCAGAACAGACACTTTGTTCGGGGCTGGACACGCGGGAAAGGGGACAACCGTGATGCTCAGCTCTTCCTGTCACCTGCAACCAGCCCCACGGTGAGCGCCTGTCCTGAGCTCCCTCCCCAATGCTGCCCGGAACCCGCGCCAGCCCACACCGGCCTGCACTGCCACACGCCCCGTCTCCTCCGGGACAGCAGCCTCCTGCCTCTGCTTCCACGACGGGGACAGAGCACACAGAGCCAATTCTGCCGGTTTCCGCCTACAGGGGCCGGTGCCCATTTCACCACGTCCTTCCAAAGGAACGGATCCGCTTCCACAGCAGTCACCGCCCTGGACACTCACCTCTTGGTCCCGCAGGTTCGTGTCTCCCGCAAATATGACGGTGGCCGACTCCGGGGCCTCCTGCATTTTCCTCAGGACCATCTTGAACTGACTGGCGCGCTCCTCCGCGTGCTCCCGGGTGCTCTCCAGGTGCGAGTTCATAAGGAACAGCTCGTTTCCCGACACGCTCGCCTGCGCGGGACAGACCGTCACGGCTGTTATCAGCCCAGTGCTGACCTCTGACCCGGGACCAGCAGATCAGCCACTGGCCGAGCGCACCCACGCCGGGAGCTTCTCGCCACCACGGAGCTGTTCCTTCCGGCGCAGGACAACGCGTTAGAAGAAAAGCCAGGTTAGAGAGGGAACGTGGGACATCACCAAACCTCCCACATCTCAGGAAAACATCTTACAGATCAGGGATTTCATTTTTACAAGACTGTGTCAATGTTTGAATTTACGTAAGAACTTATCGAGCTCTTTAAGACGAATAGGACACCCTGTGAGTGAGGAGCCAGGCCTTTCTAAAGACAGCAGTAAGCAGGAGAAAAAGGACACCACCCTGGAACTGCAGAGAACGTATGCTTTTCTTACAAAAGCAGGGTCGTTAACGTTACTCACGTGCACACACAGAAGGTTTCTCATCATCTGTGTGTTTGGGAAAGGGATGATCTCGTGGCTTTTCAGTTTCACTCTGGACTTCTTCAGCATGATGGCCGTGAAATACCCGGCGTCATGGCCTGCGGGTGTTTGTGGAACAGAATTTCAGTTGAGAAGACAAACAAGTAGATGCTTAATCTCAATCTTAAACTATTGTTTCAAAATAGCTGGAGATGGCCAGCCATGTCCTGTGTTCGCCCGCTCCTCCCAATGTCACGGGAGGATGGAGAAATATAAAAGTAAACAGGACTTCACATCGGTGCCAAACTAGTTAACGGTGCCAACAGGAAACAAATAAACTGGAGAAATTTCTGGAAGACAGGAGATGAGACTTAACCTGAGGCAAGTTGGCATGCATTACTTCTCACCCGGAAGCCCAGGAAAATTATAATAAACGAACAGAACATTTAGAAGGTGTGAGGCTGTAGGAAGAAAAGAGAACAGAACAGGCAGTGACAACTGGCTGATCAGAACAGAGGATCCAAAAAAGAAAAAAAAGGAAGGAAAAAGGAGGAAAAAGAACGAAGGGAAAGGAGGGGTCGGAGGAAGGCCGGAGAGGTAAACAGAGAGGGACGGTTTTTTCTGAACTGAAGGTCACAAACTTCCAAATTGGAAGTTCCTTCCAAGTGTTCAGAATAAATGAGAAAAAACAAAAAAACAAAAAACTAAGCCCCCCAAGGAACACTAGGATGGAAAAGAGGCCCTCAAAGCTCAGGGAGGGGGAGGCCAGAATTAGTAAGGCTTCAGATTTACAATCAACAACGGAAACCGGTGGAAAATACCATGTAAGAAAAAATGTCCTGTAAGTAAATTACATCTAGAAAAATTTTTCTTCTTTTGAAAACCAATTTTCATTTGTAATGATAACAGTAAGACAGCCATGAAAAATACACATAGTATCAAAATAAGTCAAAAAAAAATTGTTTGGGCAAAAAAATTAAAAGGATCCCAAGTAAAATTTATAGAAAAGATTCCTTTATTAATTTTGGTCGAGATATGTTTGTATTTTTTCAGAAAACTCCAAGACCATGTGGATTCCTGCAACAGAGTAATTAGCAGGAATGCTCCAGCCATGAAGACAGGAGGAGAAACAGTCCAGACATGGAAGATGCTGACTACACCTTGCCATGCCAGCAGTCAGCAGCTGTGTGTCCTGCAGGATGTCCAGGACCAAACTAGAGACGATCAGACCTGTATCACCACCATTTGTCCACCATGCAGATACCATTGGTGACATGTACACGTGAAGAACTTTTGGACTCAAAACTTTTAGACATTGAAACTTAGACTTAGAACTCTTGAACTTTGAAATTGGGACTCATAAACATTTTTTGTTCTTATATGTTTTATTCCTGGTACATAAATGCAAGATTTTTTAAAGGAAGGAATTGGGGGGAGATGCCGGGAACCTGGAACCAGGAACCAGGAACAGGGAACCAAAACCTAGCATTGTCATTGGAGATAAAATGTAAAAAGAGCTATGCGACCTTGATGGCTCTGAATGGTCAGAGGCATTAACTCTTTGTATAGTTGAGATAGTGGTGCTTGAGGCAACTTTAATCTGTTAATCATATGTAAATGTAAGTTGATTTTCTGCTGTTAGAACTTCCTCCTTAAGAGATATCTTTGTTTCAGAATCTCAATAAAAGGAATGGTAAAAGGCCAAAGAGGGTTAGTCTTCCCACTAGAGGTAGACTTCCCGCCTGGCCCCCATTTTCCCAAATTAAAAAAAAAACAAAAAAAAAAAAACGGAAACCGGGAAACACTGACAACACCTTTCTGCCTGGAAATCTGTGTGCAGCCGAACCACCAGCCAGTCACGGGGACGAATCACAGGTTCACAAACGCCTCCCTACACATTCTCTCTCAGAAGGGGTTTCAGAATGTGCACCAATAAAACAAGAAATCCAACCAGGAGCAAGAAAAAGAATCCCCAGGAGAAGGCAGAAAAGCTGTCCCTCAGAGAGAGCAGGAGAGAAACGGAGGCCGAGGCAGGCTGATGAGACAGCACGTCAAAGCAAACCAGGGCCTCAGGAAAAGGGAGAGGCGACGGGAACATGGGCTTGAGCCCAGAATAATGACTTGTAGCCAAAGTGGTAAAAACAAAACAGGTGGAGAAAAAAAAAACCCAACTAAATTAGAGTAAAAAGCTAAAAGAAAAAAAGACTTTTGAAAAAGCATAAATAACCACATGAAGCTAATGTAGCATGTGAACTATAGCTGAAAAATTAAGAATCTGGAAAAAAGTATAACTACAATGCAATTATCACACTTAAAATTTTTAATGACTTACTGTCACCAAAAAGCTACTCACTGTCTCAAACTTTGACAATTTACATGTTCCTGACGTATCGTTCATTACAACCTCTTTCTCACATCGAAGCTGTATCTCACATCCTCCTACGGTTCTCTCAGCATCGAGGGTCTGGCTTGTTTGCTTAAAACTTAACTGCGTTTGTACTTTACTGTCTCTGAGCTCCAATAGGCTTTGACTGGTTTCTTTCATTGACGTGTTCTTCAAAGAAAAAGACAAGTGACATGACAGGAAAGCTGTTACCTGTGATGATCTCGTAGCTGCTTGCCTTCTTCTTCAGCATGCTGTGATACGGGGGAATGACTTCCTGCAGAAACACCAGGTCCGGGCTGTACCTGTGTGAGAACACCGGGAACGCGCCATTTCATGGGCGGTACCTCCACCAGCAAAATACCACCACGTCAGAGAAACGCAAAACACCCACTATTCAATATTCACACTGTTCCTTGGTAATGATAAGACAGAGATCTGGGCTATTTCTCGCAAAGATTAAAAAAATATATACGTGACACCGCATTGTAAAGCTGTTTAGAATCACTGACAAGCAGCAGTGATCTGAGAGGCACCACAGTCCTGCACCTCGAGGGACACTTCACGTGTGATCACCCCTTCCGACCTCCAGAAACTGATCCCTGACGAAGGAGATGGCCCCGGAGAGCGACGTGGCTCACCATGACGCCACAGCTGACAGCCAGTGTGACGTTCGGAGCAGCCACGATGACACAAAGGCTAAGGAGCCAAGCAGCACGGGGCGGCTTCTGGCAGAGGTCTGCTCCTGCCCGCCCCTCCCGCCACCCCGCGCGCTGGCCCTGAACTGGGGTCTCAGGCCTTCGGCCCTGCCCTCCGCACACCGGGGGAACCGGCCGCCTCCCTCCCGCAGCAGCATGAGCACTCACAGGGCGATGCAGGCGCACACTGCCTGGGCCCGCTCCCGCAGGTTGTTCAGGTCCAGCCCGTCCACGTTCCAGGTGACCAGCGAGAAGGCGCTGCCGTCCTCCTGCAGCGGGGGGCTGGCCGGGCCGCTGGGGCCCCGGGGGGCCGGCGCCTCCTCCTGGGTCAGGTCCACACTGGCGGGATCAGAGCGAGCACAGCTTTGCAACAGCCTGCAGGAGGCCTGGTTTGCCCCTCTCTCTCGGGAGAAGGCACTAAAGACCGAGCCTCCGTCCGCAGAGCAAGTCCCGGCCGAGGAACAGACGCCTGTGCTACCCAGGTGGTGCCACTTAGCTACCAGTAACCTCAGGCCCTTCCATGCCCCGATTTATAAGCAAACGCGACATTCCCACACGGATTTGGGTTCACTGTAAATCTTGTTTCTGAAAGCAGAGCCGAGCCCTGGCTGGTGGCTGGGCGGGCGGGCGGGCCTTCGGGGCCGGCACCAAGCTGCTGCTCCGACACCAGGTCCCACATGGGTGTCTCTCCCCACCTCTTCCTCTCTCTCTCTAAAAATCAATAAAAAAACTTTCCTTTTTTAAAGTAAAGGCCTATTCACATTTCACCAACTGTGCTACTAGGCGCTGACCCAGGACCTGCACACTCTCTCGTCTCCGTTAATCCGGAATCGGCCTCCAGGCCTTGCCTGTGACCTGGGCACCGTGAAGCACAGGGCGCGTGCTCTGTGTTCGGTCCCTCGGGCGGGGGGGGGGGGGGGGGGGGGGGGGGGGGGCCTGTCTGGCGTTTTCTCAGGATCGGGTTCATTACGGCTGTTGGGGAGGAACCACCCCGAGGGCCGGGGTGTCTTCTCCGTGCGCCCTTGCGGGGGACACCGCACCTGGGTGCTGCCCCAGCACTGGCCACGTGCCTGACCACCTGGTCCGGTCGGGGTGGTGTCTCCCCCTCCCTCCCGCCCAGCGATGCCTCCCCTGTAGGAGCCTTCGGCGGGCGGGCGCTGTGGGCCTCTGCAGACACCGCCTTTCCCACCACCATCGGTCATTTCGGAAAGAATTCCCCGGTGGGATTCCCACGGGGTGCTTTTCTCTACTGCCACCCGCCCTTCCAGCTCGCCTTCTATCTGAGGGCAGACGGTCTGCTGCCGGAGGGAGGGGCCCGCGTTTTATTCCGCAGACGAAGCCTGCTGCCTCCGAGCCCACAGGGCAGGGGCGCGTTTTCAGGAAACGGAGAGTAAACAGTAAATAGAACCCAGCGAAGGGCACCGACCCTGGAGCCAAGAGGTCACGGTTCAGTTCCGGGTCAGGGCCCCGCCCGGTGGTGCGCTTGACCCCCTGGAGGCAGCTGATGGAGGATGCTTCTCTCACGGATGTTTACTTCCTCCCTTTAAAGATCAACAAAGGGTTTTTAAAAATCTACAAAGAATATGAAAAACGAACTAAAAACAATCAATAGAGGACGCAGACGGACTTCCAAGTCACCATATTTCCAACAGAGGTTTTTGCCTCATTCATTTGTTTGGGACCTTTCGCTGGCATCTTTCCTGTCCTTGGAGTGACGAACAGTTCAGAGGGTGCCGTCTGCACCCCCATCCGCCCGCACCCCAGCCCCGCCCGCACCCCCCTCCGCCCGGGGCGCCGCCCACTCACCAGGACCCCGGCGGCGCGGGCGAGGTGGCGGGGCGACGCGGGAGGGCGTCCTCCTCCGCTCGCGGCTCGAAGTAAGCGTTCAGCGCCCTCTGAGGGGAGCAGGCACACGGTGGGCTCTTGCGCGCGCGGCCCGGTCACCCCCCTGCAACCCCACCCCTCCCAGCACCTTCCCGGGGCCCTGCACCCTCCCCCCAGGCCCTGCACCCCCACCGGGCCCTGCACCCGCACCGGGCCCTGCACCCGCACCGGGCCCTGCCCCCCCCCCCCAGGCCCTGCACCCCCACCGGGCCCTGCACCCGCACCGGGCCCTGCACCCTCCCCCCAGGCCCTGCACCCCCACCGGGCCCTGCACCCGCACCGGGCCCTGCACCCTCCCCCCAGGCCCTGCACCCCCACCGGGCCCTGCACCCCCGGCCCGGCGCGCACCTCCACCTCCCAGGCGTTCTCCGCCAGGTAGCGCCGCGCCACGGCCTCATCGCAGCTGGCGACGGAGATGAAGTCTGCGCACAGCAGCAGCCGCTTCTTCCCCGCCGGGTCCCCGTCCTCCGGCCCCGCCTCCGGGTCGCTCTCCGGGCTGCGCTTCCGCTCCATCGCCGCCGCGGATGCTCGCCGCCGCCGCGAGGCTCCCGGTCAACCGCCCGCGCGGAGACCCGGCGCCCTCGGAGGCGGCCGGCGCGGCTGCGGCTGCGGCTGCGCAGTGGAGGACGGAGCGGCGGCGCCGGGCGGGCCCCACAGCGCATGCGCGCGCGGTCCCGTCGGGGCGCGAAACGGCCGTGCGCGGGGGGCGTGGCGCGAGCGGAGTGGGCGTGGCGGATGGGAGGGGCGGGGCGGAGGGGGCGGGCGCTCCGCGGACGGTGGCGGCTCGTCTGCGTCCTCTGCGTCCTTGTGCGTCGCCAGCTGGCGGCCCGGCGCTGCCCAGCTTCAGTCCTGCGCGGGGCCCCGGAGCTCGCGGACGTGTCACCATGAGCCTGACCCACAAACTGCGGGAGGTGATGGCGGCCATCAGCGGAGCCCCCGGCTTTGACAAGGTTTTGGAAAAGGTACCGGAGGCGCAGCCGCAGGTTGTGGTGCGGGGAGCGGAGGCCCCGCGCTCCTCCCGCCAGATCCCGTGGCGATCGCGGGGGCGCCAGGTCAAGGGCGCGGAGGAGCTCATCTCCTGGTCCGCAGCTGAGCGTGGCTGTCACTCGGGAGACGGCGCTGCGGCTCCGGGGCCGGAGGGACGGCGGTGCGACCCTTCCAGGCGGCCCGCGGCGCCGCAGGCGGCGGACAGTGGGTTCCGGGCGCGCCCGCAGCTCGCCGGTTATTGGTGCCCGGAGCTGCAGCCAGGCAGCAAACTCCGGTGCTAGGCGGTGGGTTTGCACCTAAAGGAGCTCCTGCCATAACCTTATTCATTCTAGTAACTCCTTGAATTACGGAATTTCTTCATTTGTTTTTAAAATTGTATTAAGCCATGCACTACAAAGTAATTGTAAAAATTACCCTGTGCAAAATCTAGGGAACATTCAAATTAAACCGATAATGGACTGACAGACCCCAGGGGCCAGCTGGCTTCATGGGTGCAGAATTACCCACGTGATGTTGATTTCTGCCAGGGGAGTGGGAACCCGCCAAGACTACGATTGTTTTTTCCCCTGTATGTCCCTTTTTCTTTAAAAAGTTTCCCTTTGGATTAACTTGTCCGAGAGAGGGGTCGCACTGACTGAGTCACCTTTTTTTTTTTTTTTTAAAATATATTTTCCTGATTTTCCACAGAGAAAAAGGGAGAGGGATACAGAGCTAGAAATGTCAATGAGAGAGAAACATTGACCAGCTGCCTCCTGTACAACCCCTACCGGGAATGTGCCTGCAACCACGTACATGCCCTTGACCAGAATCGAATCCGGGACCCTTCAGTCCGCAGACCGACGCTCTATCCACTGAGCCAAACCGGTTTTGGCCTGAGTCACCTTTTTTGGGGTGACTCAGGTTAGAGTCCTGGATCCTCGGGGTGCTCACCATCCTTTCCTTCTGCACTCAGGTGACGCTGGTCTCGGCGGCCCCGGGGAGGGTGACCTGTGAGCTGCAAGTGGAGGAGGAGCACACCAACAAGCTGGGCACGCTCCACGGGGGGCTCACGGCCACCCTGGTGGACAGCATCTCCACCATGGCGCTGCTCTGCACCGAGCGGGCGCTGCCGGGCGTCAGCGTGGACATGAACATCACGTGAGTCGCCGGGCCGCCCCGTGTGAGGTCGGCCCTCGTGTTCTCCGCCTGGAACCTTCCTTCCAGGCACAGTGTGCACCGACCGTTGTAAAATGACTCAAACCTTCGAAAAAGCAGCCCTAGCAGGTTTGGCTCAGTGGATAGAGCCTTGGGCCAGGGACTGAAGGGTTCTGGGTTCGACTCCAGTCAAGGGCGCACACCTCCGTTGCAGGTTCAATTGCTGGGCCGGGTGGGAAGGAGCTAATAGAAGTGTCTCCCTCACATGGATGCTTCTCTCTGTCTCTCCCTCACCCTCCCACTCTGTCTAAAAATCAATGGGAAATATCCTCAGTTGAGATTTAACATCTTTTGAAAAAGCCAGCCTTCGGCCTCGAACACAGATGCTGGCGGGAACACCGCCAGCACAGACTCCCGGCTTCTGTGTCACAGTCCTGACGCGTGTTCAGGACACGTACAGGCTGAAGGGAACCCAGAGGAGAAATGGAGAAGCCTCCACAGAGACACCTCTCCTAGGGACAGGTGACCACAGATGGGGTGTCTCCCCGAGGCGCACGGACAGGCTCTGCAGGTTCAGCCGCACGGTGTGGGCACCGCCCCAGGGAGCATGCCTGCAGGGGGTCACACATTCCCATCACACACACACACACACAGTCAGCGCCGGTGCCAACCAGCAAGGCTGCCCCCGTCCTGTCCAGTGGCCGCTCAGGGGCCAGGGTTTGTTTCTGGACAATTGCTTTTGTCTCCAAACTAACAGAAACATGGTTTTCCCCCAGGGGACTGGCCAGGGTGAGCGTGGGAAGGCCAGTGGCATGGAAATGCAGCCGTTAGGTTGTATCAGGTTAGCACCGCATTCAGGCCCCTGTTACTATGGAAATAACCTAAACTGAGGGTGCAATAGGCAAACCCCAGGACGAGAGGCACCTGCTCTTTTGAGATGAAGATGAGAGCGAGGTCTGCCCTCTGGTGCCGGAGCAGCCAGCAGCCTCGCCAGCAGGCTCTGTGCCCTCAGTCTGTGCTGGGCCGATCTCCTAAGATAAGGCGGCTTGGACCACCATGACGAGTTTCCAGGAAGACAGCTTTGGCCTTTCCAAGTGCATGTCGACAAAAGTTTTGGCCTGAGCTTCACACAGGGACTCCCTGCCCTGCTGGCACGGCTCAGTGGTTGAGTGTCGACCTATGAACCAGTTTTCGGTTTGGTTCACATGCCTGGGCTTCAGACTCGCTCCCCTGTGGAGGGCGTGCAGGGGGCAGTGATTCTCTAATCATTCATGCTTCTCTGTCCCCCCTCCCCCTTCCTTCCTCTGAAATCAATAAAAACATTTTTTTAAGAGTCCCTTGAACAAAAACTAGGACATAGTCTCAAAGATATACTATAGCTATTTCAAAAATAAATGAGTGGCAATTTGAATACAGGTGGGCTGGAAGTGTATCTTAACGTGTGCACAATTCATCACCAGGACTGTAAGGACCTCACACTTATACATAAGCCATCGTAGATTCTTAACGGCAATATGACAATTATAGACCAAGTGGTACTTCACTTGGCAAGCTCTGCAGATTAAATGAAAGCCTGAGGAACTCTCCCGCAGCTCCAAGTAAATCTGAAGCAATGAAAAAAGGGGGTGTAGGCAAAGCTCCTTCCTCTGTTTATGGGGGAAAAACCCAGTGTGGGTGAGGAACAGCCACTCACACTGGAAGTGACGGCAGGGTCACTGGCTGGCTCCTTCCTTCCCTCCCAGAAAGATCAGCATGAGGGGGCTCTTCTGCCTGCGCACGGCTCTCCCTTTAAGAATGCCGTTAACTGCGTGCCAACTTGCTTCCTTTCCAGGTACATGTCGCCGGCGAAAATAGGCGAAGTGGTGGTGATAACAGCCCAGGTCCTGAAGCAAGGGCGGACGCTGGCCTTTGCCTCCGTGGACCTGACCAACAAGACAACCGGGAAGCTGGTGGCTCAGGGCAGGCACACCAAGCACCTGGGGAGCTAGGACCCCGGCCGACACCCTGCCCAACAGAGCACGCAGCCGGCGGCAGCCGAGAACTCGTGTTTCAGGGGCGAGAGCAGCCATGGGGGACAGCGGGCAGGGGCATCTGTTTTCTGTCTTCCATTATAAGCCTCTTCAGCGTTAGCTGTGAACCTTATGTATGACACTGGGATGAAAAGTTCTTCGCTCTGTGTTTTGAAAACGTTAAGGCAAAGAACAAACACCTTAAAACTGACATCTAATATTAAACTAAAGGAGAAACAGAAATTAATGATTAATCTGGTCAATCCTGCTCAGCTTTAAAATGCCGCCTTACATTTCATTTTTTAACCCCCATTTCAAGATTATGGAACTCCAGCCCTGGCCCAGTGGCTCATTTAGAGTATTGTTTCAACTTGCCAAGGTTTTGGGTTTGATTCCAGTCAGGGCACATACAAGAATCAGCCAATAAATGTATTAAGTGGAACCAGTCAATGTTCCTCTCACTCTAAAAATAAAGATTATGGAACTTCAAAATAGGTGGGCCATCACTCACACTGGAAAGCAGACTGAATGATGTGGCCTAGACTAACCCCCAAGAAAACTGGAGGCAAAGCACAGATGGTACAAGAGCACACGGTGCTGCTTTTCTCAGGGTGTTACAGGACTGGCTTATCCCCCATTGGGGGCGGGCATCCCGTTAGCCGCTTGACTGGTACCTAGAATAAAACCCTGCAGGTTTCAGATCTCCCAGACTGCACCGCATCCGGAAGACCAACCCCCGAACTGTTCAGTGGGTGTTGCAGTCCTGCCCAGCCATGCTGAGCATTTTAGACGTACTGCTGAGGACTGAGCCCACCTTAGGTTACTCATCGGTGATGGACGGAGGGCTCTCCTGGCAGCAGCAGGCTGACCCAGGTGAAGGGAGATGATACAGGAATCGCTGCCACCATCACGGTCAGGATGGGTTATGGCAAAAGGCACCCACACCCTCCTGAGGAGCTGAAACAGGACACCTTAGACCTGTAGAACCAACATCAACACAGCCAACTGGCAGGGAGCCTCGGGACAGTCACCAGGGAGGGTGTAAGTCACTGGCCAGAATGCAAGGCCCACACCTTGCGGGAAGAAACTGCCCCCAGATCAAGATGAGCAGCTCCTTTAATCCTGGCCTGGCCTTGCCTGGCTGGTGGCCACGGCTGGGTTCTGTCAGGCCACCTCCCCTGGGGACGCGCAGGGGGCAGCCAATGAGTTCTCATCATTCATGTTTCTATCTTGCCCTCTCAATAAAATATTTTTAAAAGCTGACCTGTCTTCTTCAGCAATGCCGAGGTTGGTTAAGGTTGAACTGTCCCAGGTAAAAGGTGACCAGAGACCTAACAGCCCAATGCAGCGATCCTGGACGGCAGGGGGTTAAACACACCCAGGAGGGCACTGGCACCCTTCCCCAGCTGGGTAACTCTCCTGTGGGACACACGCCTACGCTCTAAGGAGTGAGGAATCAAGACTCCAAGTTTCAAGAATGTTTAAAGTTAGGCAGAAAGACAACAACAAAAAATGTGGCAAATGTAAAACTTTTCAAAAATCGCCCACAGACAGCAACCAGTGTGTGTGTGGGGGGGAAGGCAGGCTGAGGGAACTGGGCGGAAGAGGGTGCTCGGGGGTCCAGGTGCTGCCCAGGGCCGAGGTCAGCTGGGACCTCCCTTCCACGCCAGCACCTGTGCTTCCACAGGGCCCCGGGACCACACCTGTGCCCAAATTTCATGCACCGGGCCTTCAGTTCTTATTAAAACCAGTGGCTGGGAGATGCAGAACTTGCTGAACGTTAACGGACAAGTGCAATTCATTAGAGAACGGCAGCTGCTTAAAACCCTCCCTCAACACGTGAGGTGGGCAGGCACCCCCGTGTCCACGCGGGGCTGACTTCAGGGCAAGAGCTTAGAGCAGGCCCACAGCAAACACTCAAAGCGTCATTTCATGATTTCTGGTCTTGCTGACATGCCCACTCCAAGGCTGCGCGTTAGCCGGGACTCGAACCCTCCGGGTCATCAATGATGCGCGTAGAGCCCAGGAAAGAGTTAACATTTCACACGTGTTGTGTGTTCACCTGCATCATCAGGGAACTTAACCTATTTTATTTAGGTTTTCATTTCTTCAAATTTCAACCCAAAGCTAAATACAACTGGAAACCAGTAAGCACTGTTTGTTCCCAAGGAGTAGGATCATTCAGATTTACTCCTGTAAAGTATGCAACCCTTAGCAAAGCTTTTCTTCATTTAAAGAAACAAAACAAAACAAAAATCTATACAGTAGTCTTTCCTTATGTTCATTGCACAAAATGAGTTCTGCTTTTTATAACTTTGATACTCAAATGGTGGTTTTCACAATTTAAGATTTCAACTGCAATAACTTTTTCCTACTCCCAAAAAAAACCTTTGTAAGTTTTTCTTAAGGATGGTGTAGAAACCAGTATTTCTGCACAATTCACTGGAATTTTTTTCTTTGCAATAAAAATCTCTTTAAAACCAGAAAAGAAAACGAAAACCAAAAGGCAAGTCCTCTACCTATCCTGGCTTCTGTAGCTACGAGTGAATCGATTTGACAGCTGCATTAGCCACTCGAGGCTCCAGATCTGCTTTCCTGTGTCTGACTGTGTCCACACAGAACACTTTGTAACAGCAGCCTGGAAAAGCGATCTGGAAATAAAACACACATATTTATGAGTACCAGGAAACAAACATGGCCCAGTAAGATCTGAGGCAAGAATGCCTGCAATTGAGATGCTTTTTTCATTTAAGATTTCTTTCCTGTGGTTGTTTTTTCTTTTTTTTGAACAACCACTTCTGGTTATTAAATGAATCTGACAGTGCTCAGGATCAATGGTGATTCGAGCAAAGCTATGAAGTTTCTAAAGTGTTGTTTATACCTGTTACATTCCCTTCTCACCCTCCAAATACTGATGACAGCTGCCAGAGGCAAACCAGCACACATGGGAGACCGCCAACCATGAGTACCACTGGTGCTTTCAGACACATCGGCATTTCAGTGCACATAGTCCTCACTTCACATTTTAAGATGCTGACGCAGTGCAGCCCGGATGCAGAGCATCCTCTTTCACACAGTCTGTGCAGAAGACATCGAATTTAAGTTCTGAGATACAAATGATTAAAAACAAATCCAGGATGAACAAGTTTCAAAATGCATAGTGTTCTGTGCATGAGTCCATTTTCTTTAAACTCTGAAAGAATAAAGTGGTAAGAAAACAAGAAAAAACTGCCGCTGCACTCTGATGTCTCCTCTTGCTGGTCAGCACTCTATTCGGGCAGGTAAGGGTGCAGGTGGTCCTCTATGGTGCCAACCGCCCAGTGGGTGAGCTGTTCCTGTGGCAGGTAGAGGCAGATGCTGCATAACTTGAAGATTGTAGCTTTGTTTTTTGGAGTCTGAAAGGGAAGTTTTAATATCCTTAATGAATGAGGCTTTAACTAAGTGCTCGGTTGCCACATGAAGCCAATCTAACCAATTTATTAGGCGATTATGGAAACGCCTGAGGGTTCTGGGCCACAGGCCTCTGCCATAGGAAATATAGGAAAACAGAGAAGTGTGACCACAAACAAACATTTGAAGGATGCAGGCAGACTGAGTAAGTCAACCACAGACTAATTGCTGAAAGAAATCAGGGTTAAAGGCATTTCATGGACAGATTTGAAGAAGTCACGTTTGCATACAGAGAGACAGAAGATGTGACGAGAGCAGAGGCCAGGGGGAACAGAAATAGTAAAAAAAAAAAAAAATATATATATATATATAAAAAAAATCTAAGCACATATAGAGAAAAGCCAAAGAACCACGAAGCTCTAAGTCAGGGGTCTTCAAACTTCTCTCATTATGAGAATCACCTGGTGGAGTTGTTAAAACACAGATTCCCGGATCCCAACTATAAGAAGTGCTATCAGGAATCTGTGTTTTAACACCTTCACCAGGTGATTCTCATAATGAGAGAAGTTTGAAGACCCCTGCTCTAAGTACTACATTTAAAAAGGAAGCTGGATCTAATCCTCCAACGTGGGGCAGGTGTGCTAGGTGCTGTCACACCCAGCCGCCAGATGAATCAAACCAGACCTGCTTCAGAGCTCACCTTGTCAATGGAGCTCCTCTAAAGGGACAGAAAACACAGGTGGCTTCCCTCATTCCTGGCGTCTGGGCATGTACATGAGGTTGATATTTAAGATGAAAAAATGTGCCAGGCCCTGGAAGGGCAGCTCAGAGAGTGTTGTCCCCATACACCAAGGTAGCGGGCACATACAACCACCAGCCAATGCAAGCATGAAGTGGAACAGCCCTAACCGGGTTGGCTCAGTGGATAGAGCATCAGCCTGCAGACTGAAGGGTCGATTCCGATCAAAGGCATGCACCTTGGTTGTGGGCACATCCCTAGTGGGGGTTGTGCAGGAAGCAGCTGATCGATGTTTCTTTCCTCGATGTTTCTAACTCTCCCTCCCTCTCTGTAAAATAATCAGTAAAATAAAAAAAATAAAAAAAGTGGAACAAACAGATGTCCCTCCCCACCCCCTCCTCTAGCCCTCTCAATCAACAAATGAGAATTTAAAAAATAACCTTTAAAAGAACCGCACTTGGTCCTTGGCAGGTGTCTCAGTGGTTAGAGCATCGCCCCAAAACTCCGAGGTTGCGGTGTTTGATCCCTGATCAGGGCACACACAGGTCCAACCAATAAGTGCTAAGTGGACAACAAACCGGCATTTCTCCTACTCTCCTTCCTCTCACAAAATCAACTAAAAAAATCGTACCCCAGCGAGTTCTGATATGCAGCCAAGTCTGGGGACCACTGCCTTAGGGTCAGGCCCAGGAGATGGGCTTCTTGTTCTGTAAATAACTTCAAACCAATGCAGCGATGAAGGGCAAAACAGAGCCGAGCCCCCGCACAGAAAGCAGTTTGGCGGTCAGGGAAGGGGTGGACGCAGCCCGATCTGGCCCAGGCCCACCTGCAAGTGCTGCCTGTCGATGAAGAGAAACACGGACTGGCTCGGGTTGTTGACCACAATTCCAGTCTTGTCCTTGCGGCTCAGTACATGCAGAAACTGTTTTTCATAGTCACCGTGATGAAACTCAAATTTAGCCTAATTAAAAAGCACAAACACGTGTAAGTAATCACACTGCAACTAGGTTACAAGATGTGAAACACATATACAGCTGTGCTACTGCACATGCTAACCCACACGGGTCCTTAATTAAAAACACAATTAGAAACTGTCTTCAGGAAGCCACATTTCAATGCTCAGTGAGCACAGGCAGCAAGCGGCCACCACTGTGAACCGTCTCCCGAGACACGGAGCAGCCTCCTGCTCCTCTTCACCCCCTACTGCTCCTTTGCACCTGCTACGGCAGGTGTGTGTGGTGCCAGGGGAGAGCACTAGCCAACTGTACCCAGGACCCCTCCCTAAAGCCGCCAACGCCAACCTTACAATTACAGACTTCTCTGGCCATAACCACAAACATACTGGGGAGCTGAGAACCTCATTCTCAAGAGACTCCACAATTCAGTGCTTTCTCTAGTCAAAAGGGCAGAAGGGACTAAAACAAAATCATTACAAAGCATTGCCCCAGGAATATCCTAAGTCAAACCCTCTTCAAGAGTTTCCCATTAGCTGCTCTCCACGTTTATTTCAGAAGAGAATACCTGAACAGGCCTAAAAGGCTCATCAGATCCCTTCCACCTAGAAAACAGGAGACAGACAATTTTCTCAATGTCATTCCGAGGCCAAAGAATGAAATCCATCTCCTGAGTACAGCCAATCACGTCCTGTGAGGCGACAGAAAGAGAAAAGGAGAAAATCACTTTTACGGAGACAGTTTAAGGAGCAGCAGCACAAATGAAGAGGCCTGACTGCAGACACACGGAGGCAGCAGCACTGGGACCAAGTTCTAATTCCTGTCCCGGCACTCAAGGTGCCTCCATCACGACTCCACCTAGGGCTCGGGTTCTTTGTCTTTTTTAAACGCCCTGCATGTTTATTCCCCCCCTTCAAAACCAGAAGTACTTAAGCAAAGGCATCTTGGGAAATCTAATATGAGCCACTGCCTTCTTGTTATAACTGTTGCCGATGCTGATGGTCTCTCGTCACGGTACTGCACGGCACTGTCCGGGGCGACCGACCTCTTCCAGACCAGCACCCGGTCATCTCCAGTCCCCCGACCCTACCACTATGGGGGCAGGGCCTCCTGGGCAAATCTGAGGAGTAATGCCCAATGATTCGCAGAAGTTCAGAAGGTTGGCAGCAACAGCAGCATCTTCTACTTTAAGTGTCTCATTTATTAGAGACATGACGTTCTCTCTCTCCCAAAGGAAACCCAGTGAACAGTACACCGTTATCAGCATAATACCACATGAGGAAGATATCCATTTGAAGTCGGCTCTTAGAGAGTCACGGCCACAGCAACTGCACGTTTGTGGGGGGTCAGGGTGCCGTGCCAAGGCGAACTCACTACAACATACAAAACCCGGACAAACCCACGCTCACCCTTCTCATAGACTGGTACCGAGGGGCATGGAGCTGTACCACGTCCTTCTGCAAAAGCTCCACGGAACTCTCCAGGGAATAGCTGCAATCCCGCACGCCTTTCAGGATATTTTCCTCGTAATTATTTGTCATGACTGGCATAACCTCAGACACTTCAAAAAGTGCTGACTTTTTCTTCTAGAAGAAAAAAAAACTTATCAATCCACTGATAACACACTGTCTTTTAACACTCAGTCCACATTGCAATGTCACAGACCTTCATTCTAACTCAGCAAAATTCTTCAAAGAAGTAATTTTTCTGTCTCCACACTCCCAACCCCAGCCCATCAGAATGTCTAACCACATGGCTTCACAGCATCATGTATCCACAGCAAATGTCTATTTTATTTATTTATTTAATATGTTTTATTGATTTCTCACAGAGAGGAAGGGACAGGGATAGAAAGTTAGAAACATCGATCAGCTGCCTCCTGCACACCCCCTACTTGGGATGTGCCTGCAACCAAGGTACATGCCCTTGACCGGAATCGAACCTGGGATCTTTCAGTCCATAGGCTGACGCTCTATCCACTGAGCCAAATCGGTTTCGGCACAAATGTTTATTTTAGAAACCATTTATTGCCCTAGTCACTGATCGAGCACCGGCCTGTGGCTGAAGGGCCCCAGGTTCCATTCTGGTCAAGGGCACTGCCTGGGTTATGGGCTCAATCTCCAGTAGGGGGCAACGCGGGAGGCAGCCAACCAATGATTCCTATTGATGTTTTTCTCTCCCTCCCTTCCTCTCTGAAATCAATAAAAGTATTTTTTTAAAAGAAAATATTTCTTAAATGCTGTAACAAACACTAGCACCTCTCAGATTGAAAAAAGTGATTTACTCTTCATTAACTGATTCTACAAACAGCTAAATTAAAATCTCAGCACAAAGCTATCAAAATAAATGAACCGTTTTACTCTTTAAAGAGGTCAATTTCCAGTATTTCTTTTGGATATTACATAACTACAAGTGTCAATATTTGAAAAGAGAAAAAAGCAAAAAAGTCGATCAAATTTCATTTCAGATCCTCTCCATTCAAGATAAAAACAGGTTTTCTCAGGTTTAAAGAGCCAGATGGTACAGTGGATTGAACATCAAGATCGAATATAACCACTTATATATTGGATTTGTTTCCAGTGAACCTGCATTACAATCTTGTCAACTAAAATCCGGTCTTATCCATTCTTTAGTCAACTTATTTACACACACAAGAGCGAGGGAGAGAATGGAGAAGTAACTCTGGGACTATCCAACCTGGGAGCAACCACTCAGAACTCCCCTGTGTGAAAGCACCTCAGCCAACCACACCCTCCAACCCCCAGCGAAGAGCTTCCCCCCACCCCAACCTTTAGGGGAAGAGGGTCAAACCTCGGGAACTTTTAAAACAAACCCGTTAAGATTACACTTCTGACCTGAAATTAGCTCCCAATTGAAGTGCAGAAATCCCACTATTTCCTTATATTCATAAAATAATCTCATGTCAAATAAAGATTAAGAAACCGCCATTACTTTAAGCTGCAGAAAACTACTCATTGTTTGCTATTTAAGTGTGGACTTCTGATTAAGGGCAAACATATTTAAACTTCCTATTTCACTTTAATTTTAGTGAAATTCACTTTCACACAAATAACCATGAGCATGTAACTGCTCCTCCACTGACTGTGCACCCACGTCACTGCCCGCACCCCAGGAAGGGGCCTGCATCCTGGCGAGGAGCAGGCTGCTTTTAACATCCGACCCGTGTACCACTTCCAACCCCTATTTGTCCTCACCGGAGACCATCTCTAGACTCAGTTCCAGGTCCTCTCTGTGACAGTGGAACGTACTGTGGGGCATCAATGAGACTTACAACGTGGCCCCCACTCTCTAAGCTAATAGACCCGTTACTTTAACATCGTCCAGAACCACTTGTGCTAATTCACGGTAGGAACTTTGAATTACCTTCTCCTTGAACACAAAGGCAATGTACATCTTGAAGTCAAACTGGTCAGCTAGAGACTCTTTCTTCTTCCTAAGCTGAGCGCGGAGTCTGTTCAGCGCTTGTTTCTTCCGGGAGTTCGGGTCCCCCATTTTGAAATACAGGTGGTACTAAAGCCTTTGGAAATTGTTGCTAAACTATGGGCACTTTTTCTTAAGACTCAAGTACAACAGAAACAAGTCATTTCCCCTGCTAATAGGATTGGATGGCTAAAGTCACAGCTGCACCCCAAACGGCCCTGCAAGATCAGCAGGCTGTCATGCCACCGGGTCCAGAAGCCCGCCGTGCCGCCCAGCCATGTTCGGACAGGAACGTTTGGGGTGAAGATGGGAGAGAGGAAGCGGAGGAAGGCAGGAAGGAGGAGGAAAAACTTCACCTAATTTTTTGGAAAACACATCTGGCTCAAGTACCAAAATATAGGCTCTGGGGGAGGGGGAAAGGAGACGCCTATTCTCAGGGTTTAGGTGTGCAACCACACACCGCTGACACCAGTCCAATCCTTAAAACCCATCCGGACTTTCCCCGCTTTTAGAAAAGGGATGATGACAAGGTTCAGGGAGTGGGGGGGGGGAGTGAGATCCTTGCTTTCCAAATACCGAAAAGAAAAAAAAGAGGAAGAAGGAAAAAAAGAAAAAAAAAGACCTTCCCCAAAACACCAAAACAGGGAAGGCAAATGAAACTGAAACACCCAATTGGATTTTACCCAGCCCGGTCCATGGCCGCAGAACCGAGTCAGGTCCCCGCCGGCGCAGGCCTCGCTATTGCTGTGTATTGTCAGTGCTGGCTAGTGATTACTCTTGGTGGTGAGCAACGACAACAGTGCAAAGTCGGTCGAGGAGGAAGGGGAGAGGCTCGGGGTTTCCCTGCGATCAACTACAGTGCATGCCGGGGGCCGGCAGCTGTCGCCCACAGGAGCCAGGAGCAGAAACCGCGGAGTCATTTCCAACCGGCCCGCCAGCCACCCCGCCCGCAGGCGGCCGCCGACGCTGCTGCCCAGGACCATGGTGGTGGCTGAGGGCGCGGGGAGGGGAGAGAACACGCTGGAGAACCGCTCCGGCTCTGTGGTCAGACAGCGCCCCGAGCCCTGCCAGGGAGCCCTACCTGCCCCCGGGGGAGCCTTCCCTAGGACCCGTCCCCGATCCGGACCGTGAGCATCGCTGAGGCAAAGGGGGCGGGTGCTTCTCCCAAATCCAGGCCGCGCCGGGGGGACCGCCTGCCCGCCTGCCTGCCGCCGCCCAGGCCCGCTGCCCCCTTTGCCGTCAGCGGCGGCGACGACTCACTCGCACCGCGGGAGGCACCGGATCGCTCAGGTCTTCGCTCATCTCATCGTGGAAACGACTCCCGCCCGGGTCCAGGAGGCGGGGCGGGGTTAACGGGAAGGATCAGTGGGAGGGGGGGGGGAGGGGAGAAGAAATAAAATAGTTGTATTAATATTAATTACTTTTTTTTTTATAAGGACGCCCACCCCACCCCCCGAAAAAAAAAAAAGGAAATGGAGTTCCCGGATCCGCGCGCTCACGTTGAACAGACCATGTTTCCCGAGTTTGGATGGTGCAGGGAGGGGTCGCGGGCGGGCCCTTAGCCGCAGCCCGCGGGCGGAGCGGTGGCGGCGGCGGAAGAGGCGGCGGCGGGGGCGCTGCTCGCGGCTCGGGCGGGAGCCATGTCAAGAGAACACCAGCAGCCAGCCGAGCCCCGCCATCCCCGCTGCGGCGCGCACTGGGGCCGGGCCGCCCGCGCTGCTGCCGCCGCGCAGCCCCCACCTGGGACCCATAGTCCGGCTCGGCGCCCGGGCGGAGGGAGGACGGGACGGCGGCGGGAGAGAGAGAAAGCGGGAGAGGAGGAGAGCGGCGGCCCCGCGCTGGGGAGGGGAGGAGGGAGGGAGGGAGCCCTGCGCTAAGGTCCTCCGGCGGCGAGTCAAGCCCGAGTAAAGTTATCTCAGTCCAAGCATCTGCTCCGAGTCCTCCTGGCCCCCGGCGGCGCCGGCTCGCGGGACAGCGGGTCGCAGAGAGCCGAGGGGAGGACGCGCGTCCGCGGCGGCACAGCCTCGTTCCCCGCCACCGGTGGCTGCGGAGACGGCGGCGGCCTGGGCGCCTCCCGGGTCCCGGCAGAGTCGCGTTTGAGCCGAGAAGCCAGAACAAACAACTTAAAATGGCAGCAACGCCGCTGCGTCACCCGCCCCCCCGGCGGCACCGCCCCGAGCGCGCTGCGCCTGCGCGCCCCGCGGGCCTCACCACCCGCGCGGGAACAGAGGGGGAGAAGCGCCGGGACGCGCGGGCCGTCGGAGTTATCCAGGAGGGGCGAGAGAGAGGAGCCCGGGAAAGGGACAGAAAAAAAGGCTTCACAAGGCGGAGTCTTTGATGAAAAACTGCTTAGGCGACCCTTCCGCCTCCAACGGGAGAGTGAGCATAGAGACCCCCCCTCTTGCCCAGCATGGAGCGTCCTTGGGGCGGGGACTCGGCCGCCCACTCCCTCCGGAAGTTCAGGGCCCCGGAGTTGGCCCCTCCCACCTCCTGTCGTCATAAAGCCACGCCCCATGCTTTCCCTGGTAGAGCACCCGGATGGAACCGCTTTTCCGGGGTCTTGTGCGCCTCTTCTGCGCGCGCGCAGGGCGCGGGGCGGGGCCCGTGGGTCGAGAGGGGGCGGGGCGTAGGGGTGAGGCGGGGCGAAGGCGGAGTGGAGGAGAGGGAAGTGAGCGGGGAGGCTGGAGGTAGCTTCCTGTTTCATTTCCTTTCGCTGTTATTCCTAACCCGCAGACGGGTAGTCCTTCGAGGTGTCTGTGCTGCGGAGCCCTGCAGCCCCGAGCCGGGAATTCATGTCCAATGTCTGCGCAGCAGGATCCGGGTCCCGCGGGTCCCACACGGCTCTGTCCCCGCCTCGCCACGTGCTCAGCAGCCTAGGCGGCCCTCAAGTTCTGGACAAGGTCAACGACGGCTTGGAGCGCTGCTGCAGCCATTTGGGAGGAAAACACCCCGTCCCGCTGCGTGGGTCCCCCCCACCCTCATTTCCTTCAGGACTCGACTTCTATTAGGATCCCCCGGACCGCAGGCCTAGGTCCTAGAAATGTGATGAGGGTACTGTGGGGCTTTTGCCACTGAATCACAAGTCCCTGGCACCAGAGAGCCTTCGTTTCCTTTTTTTTAGACCTATAATGTGCTGATGAAAACGCGGTTATGTTGTTAGGTAATCAGCAAAAGCCAAAGCTGGACAAAAGCAAAGCCTATATACTCCACACGGGCTACGCTCTGTGATAAAGTTTTAGAAGTCCATTGGGTCCCCAAATTACTGCTCTTCACTTGGTAAAATCAAAATAGATTACCTGTAATAACATCTTTTACACTATTGAGCCAAAAGAATAATTGGGACCCACCCTTCGACATCCATTGTTGTCCAAAACTAAAGTCAAAGGAGCTCATGAGGGTGTGTGGACGATGGGGCCACATGCTGACTTGACAGCTCTGGGGAGGCCTGCATGGCGGTTTGCAAACTCGGACCTAAAGTCACCACAAAGGACGATCTGAAATTAAACTGTAACTAAACACAGTTACTGTGGGCAGTTACCTCCTAGGCCGGTATCTTCACTGACAAGGTCAACCTTTAACTGAGCCTGTCTGTCTTTTTGCATCTATAACATATCCTTGAAATGCCTGGGTAACTTGTAACTTCCCTTTTTCCGGAGCCCCCGGGGCACAACCCTGTGTGGTGGGTGCCAGGACAGAGATCACAAATTCCTTCATTATCAAATGTTAATTGTTCCTGCACCCACCTAGGTTTGTGTCCATCATTTTAATTTTTATCCAATCTCAGGTGTTTCCCACAGCTTTGCTTTATCCCACCTCCTTAATCCAGCACCAATGAATTTCATGTAACCCACCCATGTCCCCCTCCTTTGATGGCAATGTATAAATACAGGTGTAACCCGCCATTCTCCGGAGCATTATCTCAATTTGTTGAGGTTCTGCTTTCAGGCATCTGTCGACAGTTTGGCTCAAATAAACTCACTACAATTCTTTATAGGTTTCAGTGTTTTGAGTTTTTTTACATTAACTGGTGGCCTGAAGCCAATATGATGGGTGTCAAAAGAAGAGGGAGAGATACCAGGGATGCTGTGGGTAGAGAAAAGAATATGTCTTTTTAACTATGCATTCTTCTTTCCTTAATTCTGTTGGTGAATTCATAAGAAGCCCCATGAAGATTATTTTATCATCACAATATTCTGATCTGGATCCTTTAACTACTGTTTGAAAGCACTCAGTATGTAAACATGGAATGGAAAATAAAAAGGACAGCTGCTTTATTTTTAAAAGCCAACAAAGAGCAAAATCGACAGGTGTGACTTCCTATTAATACCAGTTGTTTTACTTCTGTTAAATCTAGTTTTACCATATTTAGGGGGGAAAAGGAAATGATTTTGTTTAGACAAATTCCTTTTTTAAAAATCTCTTTTCCAATAATACACATACATTGCTTATTAATGATAATCTTACATGCTAACTGATTTTCTGCATTTTGTTGATTCAAATATCCAATTTTCTTTCTTTTTTTTAAAGTATAATATATTTTTATTGATTTTTTACAGAGAGGAAGGGAGAGAGAGAGAGGGAGCTAGAAACGTCGATGAGAGAGAAACACCGACCAGCTGCCTCTTGCACACACCCTACCGGGGATGTGCCCGCAACCAACCTACATGCCCTGACCGGAATCGAACCTGGTGCCTTTCAGTCCGCAGACTGACGCTGTACCACTGAGCCAAACCGGTTTTGGCTCAAATATCCAATTTTCTTACTTAATTTAAAAATGAACAAAAAACAAAAACAAAAAAACCAACAACCCAGGCCTGGCCAGGTAAGCTCAGAGGTTACATTTCACCCTGCAGAAAACCTTCCTTAAATGTATGTAAAGTTGCAAAGCAGGAGTGTTATGGGAGAATTAAATTCCCGTCACCAGTAGGAGTGAAGTTCTGGGAATATCTTCAGAAAATGAACTTTCTAGAAGCCCCATGGGAGGACAGATGTCCTCCCTTATTTGCAAGGCCCCACTTCCCCCACGCCAGTCCGGAAAGAGGGGCAGCTGGGAGGCCAGCAGAGCCAGAGTATCGAGCTACCCAGTCCACGTGGCAGCCATGGGTGGCTCAGCATTCAAGCTCACCCACGTCCATTGTCTGTGTGTCAGTGCTCTTACACCCTCTTTGATGGGGCTTCAGTTTTTCCTTTGTTAAAACTTCCCAGAGGAGGCAACTCTGCTTTAATGAGAAGATGAAGAAAACTAAAGGTCCTTTTTCTTGCTGGTTGTCACCTTTTCCCAAGGGTTCTAACTCCACGGAAGCAGCTGAGAAAGCCGATTTTCCAGCTTCTTTTTCAATTCAAATGCACTTTGAAAAGCCCTTGCCCCCAGGGCAGGGTGAGGGGCCTGAAGGAAGTCCCTCCCAGCAGCCCCCGTCCCCTCCCGGGGGAGGTGACTTAATCCGACTGGATTCTGAGCTGTGAGGGGCAGAGCTCCCTGCAGGTGCTCAGCTCTCCTGTAGCTTCCCGGTGCCCTCGGGCAGGTTGGCCGCACCTTTTCCGAAGCTCTATAATCTGTCAACGGAAACTGCCTCTCTCGGGTGGTGCTGCCTCCAGCCTCAGCCTCAGCCTCAATGGTCCTGCAGAGGCGAGCAGTGCCTGGTTTACTGGCCCAGCCTGTAGGTGGCGGTGTCGGGCGGACCTGCCTAGAGAGCCTCACTGGGTGGGGCAGGCCTGGGCCTGCTTCCAGAATGTGCCCCCGGGGGCAGTGGCTGAAGGGCCTGTGCTGCTTTACTGCTTTGTCACCATCTCCAAGTTACTCACCATTTTAAACACGAAACTCACTTTCTTTGCGCACTGGGTCCCACTCCTGACCCCGCCACCTGCACCATCCCTTCTCACAAAAGGGCCAGATGTCCCAGGTTCGAGTTCCTCCCCTCGTTCTCCCGCCACCTGAGGGCACCGGCCGTGGCTCTCTCATACGCCAGTTGCCTGGTACTTGGCTTGCAGACAGAACTCACTTCTCTTTTCCACTCAGGAGGGGAGAGAAATGATTCTTTCACGCACCCCTTTCAAAATTACTTATCACGTCTTTTACAAGAAAACGGCTTTTCTTGGAATGGTGAAAGTAACTTTGATTCCCCCTTTTTCTCTTCAGCTTCAGATTGTCAACTATGGCCCCGACTGGTGTGGCTCAGTGGATGGAGCATCGGCCTGAGGACTGAAGGGTCCAGGTTCGATTTCGGTCAAGGACATGTATCTAGGTTCCGGGCACATCCCCAGAGAGGGGTGTGTGTGTGTGTGTGCGCGCGCGCAGGAGGTAGCTGGTCGATGTTTCTATCTCATATTGATGTTTCTAGCTCTCTATCTCTCTTCCTTCCTCTCTGTGAAAAATCAATAAGATATATTTTAAAAAAAGGAAAAAAAGAATGTCAACTATTAGAATGAAGGTCAGTAAAAGATGATCCTGGGCCCTGGAGGGAGAGAGAGAGAGAGAGAGAGAGAGGAAAAGAGAGGCCAACAATGGCTTTTATCTTTTTAGGGGTTGTAGAAACCTAAACTATTTCCTCTCTGTCCCTTTATGGAAAGGCTCCCAGCCCTGGGCTGAGAGAACTGTCGGAGTCTGCCTCCCTCTCGCAGAGGTCACAAAACGACAGATGTCTGTAAGCGTCCAGGGCAGTCCTGTCTGCACCGGGTCCCGACGGGATCCCTGCTGGCTCTTCTGCGCAAGGGCGTTCCTTCCTCCCAGCTCCCTCTCTGGGCAAGCGCGGGCAGGCGGTCTGAAGCACAGCACTTTCCAGGAAAATGTCTGTGGTGTGTGCCACGTGCCAGACATCAGGCTGCTGCCAGGCCAAGGGCAAAGAGAACCAGGGAGAGGGGGAGGGCGCAGGGACCTCCTGCCGGAGGGGAGCTCTTTGGAGTGAGTGTCGGCACCTGCGCCGGCAGATGCTCTGTTACCGAGCACAGCTGCGAGGCGAGCTCCGAAGAAAAGCCCTCAGAACCTCAGGCGAGCCCCGGCCGGCTGGCTCAGTGGATAGAGCATCGGCCTGCAGATCGAAGGGTCCCGGGTTCGATGATTCCGATCAAGAGCACATACTTCGATCTAGAGTCCATATCTCGGTTGCAGGCTCCTCCCTGGCTCAGGAGCGGGTCTGGACTCCTGCAGGAGGCAACCAACCGATGTGTTTCTCTCACATCAGTATCTCTGTCTTTCCCCCTCTCTAAAAATCAATGGGAAAATATCCTCGAGTGTGGATTAAAAAAACAACATCACCTCAGGCAATTCTCCATTCCTGTGAGGCTGGCCGTGCTTCAAGGCCGGGATGCGGCTGGTGGCCCCCCCTGCAGGGCGCTGCCTAGACCTGCATTCAGATGCCACACATACCAGCTGACCACCCGGCAGGAGAGCCGGCAGGAGAGCCGAAGGGATCTGACCTAAACGGGTGAAAGGGTTGTCGCAGGCTCTGGGCCTTAGCGATTTTCCCTGAACTAGCCATGATCTCCTTCGGGATACTGAAATAAAAACAGGCCAAGCAACACCGAACGCATGAAGTCCCCACACCATTCCAAACTGACGGTACGATGACGTCGGACTGAGTGGGCTTCACGCCCCCGGAGAATCGCCAGTGCTCCCACAGCTCTGCGGGTTCTTATCTACAGTAACACCTGGATTCTACCCTCCGGCTCGCTCACCATGTTCACGTTTCCCCTCCCAGCTTTTCAGTTCTGGAAAGAAACAACATCATTATGAACTGTGTTTATACGTTATCCAGAGCAGTTTACTTGAATGTAACTTTTAAAACATGTATATATTTTTTACTGATTTCAGAGAGGAAGGCGAGGGAGAGAAACATCCATGATGAGAGAGAATCCTTTTTAAAAAAATATATTTTATTGATTTTGTACAGATAGGAAGGGAGAGATAGTTAGAAACATCGATGAGAGTCATCCATCAGCTGCTTTTGCACACCCCCTACTGGGGATATGCCCGCAACCAAGGTACATGCCCTTGACCGGAATCGAACCCAGGACCCTTCAGTCCCCAAGCCGAAGCTCTATCCATTGAGCCAAACCGGTTTCGGCGAGAGAATCCTTGATGGGCTGCCTCCTGCGCGCCCCCTACTGGGGATCAGGCCCGCACCCAGGGCATGCGCCCTCCAGCTCCACCACTGAACCACGCCCACCAGGCCTGAGTATAACTTTCTTTGAACCTTGGACCTTACGTACCCTGCTGGCTCTGTCCAGGGGGCCTCTGGATCGCGTGCTGAGTGAGGACACCCGCTGTGAGTCACCGAGGCCTGGAGGCCTGTCCTTGCCGCCATTCTAACTCCGAAAACCAAGTCTTCTGATGGTTTCCAATCCTTTACGGATTTAGATGCCCTGAGCTACCTCTCCCTCAAGGTCAGCGCCATCCGACTGTCTTTGCCCGTTTTCAGCGGCCACAGGAAGTCCGGGGAGGGCGGCGGCCGGCGGCCGGCGGGCGGCGGCGCAGACGGGAGCCGGTGCTCAGAGCGGCGCCGGCGGAGTGAGACCCCCCCTCCCGCCGAGCACAGCGGAGGGGTGACGGGAACGCAGACTTCGGTGACACCTGCTGGGCCCCACGCATCCCGCCCGCGGAGACCACCAGGAGGACGTGTGGGAGGGAGGAGGGGGTGGTAAGGAAAGTGCCCGCAGGACCGCGGTCTGGTCGCCCCGAGTTGCAGGGCAGCGGTATCCCGCGTCGGGAACCCACGTGGTACCTGAGCGCCTCCTGAACCCTAAGAGTCAAAATGCAAAAAGCCCGAAAGTGCAGGCTCCGCCCACATCGGAGAGCCCGCGGGGCCAGGGCTTTGCGGGCAGGTCGCCATCCTCCCGGTGCGGGCGGCGGCGGAAGCGGGTCTCTCCGCCACCCGGCTGCCCTGGGAGCGGGGTCAGAGGTCAGGACGCGGGACCAGGTACCGACTTCTTCGCGCAGAGACTCGCTGCTGCCGTCGCGCAGGCGCAGGTGGGGGGGGGGAGGGCAAGGCGGACGGCGATTGGCCGGATCCTGGAAGCCACACCCCTCGGCTAGGTCACGTGTCGGTCGGGGCGGAGTTGGCGAGCTTTCGGAGCGGCGCGCGTCAGCCGCTGGGCGGGGTTGGGGCCGGCGCGGGCGGGCCGGGGTCTGGGCGAGGCGGCGCCGCCAGGACTGAACAGTTGGCTCCGGCGAGTGAGCGGTGGCGGGAGGTCTGCGCGGGGGCTGCCCGCCCGCCGGCATCGGCTCTCCCGTGACTGCGCGGGGCCGCGGTAAGTGAACTTCGGAACGGGGACGGGGCGGGGCAGTCAGTGAGCCGCTGGGCCGCCCCATTGGCTGGGCCGATTTTGGCGCGCTCCCCGCCCGCGCTCCCTATTGGCTGGGGCGCGCGGTTGGAGCGCAGCGCCCCCTGCTGGTCGGGGTTGGGAGGCGGTGTGGCCGGCGAAGTGGGGGACCGGGGACTGGCGGGGGTCCGGCGCGAGGGGCGCGGGGCCCGGGTGGCGGTCGCTTAATCCTGGCCCCTCGTTAGCGGCACTGGCGCTGGGGACACCGGTTCCCCCGAGCGGCAGCCTGTCATCGGGACCCGGGCCCGTGCGCGTGTCTTCGGTTGGAACGAAGCGGAGCGCGGAAGCGGGCGCCGGGCTCAGACCGCCGTGCGGCCCGCGGGTGCAGGCGGAGCTCAGCGGGGCGGTGGCTGTCAGCCTCGGCAGCGAGACGCGGACGAAGGCACGTTTCACATCGCAGTTGAGGACGCAGCCACCCAGCTCCCCACAGGCCACGCACTCGCACGCTTCCGCGTATTTTCAATTCCGTCCCGATCACTTTTTTTTTTTTTATTTCCTAAACGACGTTGGTGACTCCCTGAAGGACTGCGGGGTCCCGGGCAGGGACGCTCGGTTCGGAAAACATCGCCCTGGTTCACTCGAGGGGGTCCCCGACCAGCCTTTGCACAGAAGATAAGGCGCATCCCCACCTTTGTTTGCGCCTGAGCGCCGAGGCACCGGGAGAGAGGAGCACGCGCTGGGCTGTACAGTTAGAGAGTGGGCGCCCCGGAGCCGGGAAAGCCATGGCCACAACTCCGGCAGGTCCTTCCGAGGCACATGTCTGCGGGCCAAACGCGGGTGTCAGTCTGGCCCCGTGGGGTGCTGACCCTCTGTGCGTACACCTTTACCTGCTGCTCCCGATGGCGCTTAAACGCGTCCTGCAAATGTAAACGCATCGTCTCCTTGGGTCGGATGTTGAGCCCCTCCCTCCCAAGTGATTGCCGAGTTTATCACAGCCTGTCTGCCGTTGAAAGGGCCAAGTTGGGGTGCTGTTCTCTAGGACTGAGGTGGGCACGCCCCGATCTGTGCTTCGCCTTCCCTGGTGGCATTCGCAGATCTTTGAAGAGCCCTGTGCCTCGTCCAGGATGCTGGCATGTTTTGTACATGTTTTTTCCTTTTGCAACAAGATTTCCCCAACCAGAGTTATTGTGTGTGTGTATACAATACAGATGTCATGGGTCACTGGCTCCAGTCCTGGGCGGGGCTGAGAAAAGACCCCCCCCCCCCCAGCCCCGGGAAGGCGCAGGCCCCGCCCCCAGGGGCCGGCGCCCTCTGCTGTTGGTGACCGCCTGTCCTTCCCCAGGTGCACAATGAACCCCAGTATGAAGCAGAAGCAGGACGGCACCCATGGGCGCGTGCAGGTATGTGATGGGATCTCTGTCATCGGGGTGGGGAGCACGTGGGTGGGAATGTTTTGACATAATTTAGCCTAATTATGGCTATTGTTTCCATAAACCTTAAATCACTGAATGTTTGACCAGAGGAGAAGTAACAGTAGAGAACCGTTAAAGAATGAATTGTGGTTGGATATTAAGGTTTCTGATCTTCCCATTTAGTTAAGTCGTTAGTTTCTTCCGAGCATTGCAGTGTTCAGAAGACTGAGCTGTACACGCCTTTGGTTAAGTTTTTACCTAAATATTTTGTTTTTAATGTTGTGGGTGGAGCTGCTTCTTTAGGTAGATTTCCAATGTGCTCATTGTTCCATAGAGAAACACCGTTGATTTTTGGTGCCTTGATCTTGAATCCTGCAACCTTGCTGAAGTTGGTCAGCTCTGATAGTTTGCACTAGGTCCTTAGGGTCTTCTGTAAGCAAGGTGTTCATTATTGCTTTCCTTCTGCTCCACATTCCTTGCTAATTATATGCAACATTTCGTGTGTGTGCTCTTGTGTGTGTGTGTTTTAAAGAGGTTCACAGAGCCCTAGCCGGTTTGGCTCAGTGGATAGAACCTTGGCCTGTGGACTGAAGGTCCCAGGTTCGATTCCAGTTAAGGGCACATGCTCAGGTTGTGGGCTGGATCCCCAGTAGGGGGCGTGCAGGAGGCAGCTGATCCATGATTCTCTGTCAACATTGATGTGTCTGCCTCTCTCGCTCCCTTCCTCTCTGAAAGCAATAATTTTTTTTTTTTTAAAGAGGTTCACAGAATCTTAAGCTGTTCTCTAAAAAGGATAAGAACTTTTTGGCTGTAATGAGTCTGTTATTTCAGTGCATGATCCGTGTAAAGAAAACGGTGATAGCAGTATCACATTTCCAGGGGTAGACGCCACAGAGCTTACATTATAAAATGCCTTTTTGTGAGACAGTCAGCTGTGGCTTCCTTGGCCATTGTGGGTAGCGAGCACCTGAATCAGCACCTCCTGCCGCTCAGGCCCCCGCGCCGTGTTTGTTCCTCCCAGCGTTTGCCTGGGGCTGCGGGCTAATCGGAATCACATCCGAAATGCCGGCGTGGTGTTTGTTCCCGCCGGAGCTGGCACCGGTTCTCCAATTAGCGGCGAGATGCCGCTCAGCAGGGAAACCTGAGCGTGGGAAAGGTGAGCTCGCGCCGTGGGGTGCGCGGTGCAGGCGCCGCTTTCCCACGCTGCTCCGGTGTCCTGCCCGCTGACCTCGGGTGAGAGCCACCATTGTTTGCTGTCCCGTGGTGGCAGAATAACTAATGATTTTTTTTTGTGCAAAACTAGAGCAAATACACGGGAAGGTGTTTACATATTACAAGGAAGGCCGTCTTTTCCCAAAGCAATAGCTGGGCCGTTTGCAGCATTTAAAGTGCCCCGGCTCTGAGCTCTGACATTTCACTGGCTCCCGATGGGCTCGGAGCAGACTGCTCCCGCAGGGAGGGTGTGTCCTGTTACATGTCTGTGGCTTTGTGTAAGCTATGTTCTTACACTGTTCCTTTGGGGAGCACGTGGGAGGTTAGCGGGTAATCATGATTCCAGAAGTCCAGACAAATCCTGTTGGTTAGGGGAGAAGTATTGTGCAGTGTAATTACTCTTTCTCCCCATTCACCTGCTTTCTGGGTTTCTACCACAAATGTGTTAAGTTTGGGTGACACGATGCCATTCTTGTGTTTCTTCGAACTTTATTATAATTTTAGGGAAATAAGTTTACTCGTTGGTTAGACCAATGTCTTGTTCATACCTAGCACTGAAAAATTACATAGCGGACCAAATTCAGGATGGCGCCAACGTAGGTGTACAGCTATTCATACAGAAAATAGTACAATACTTAGTAAACAATAACACAAGAATAAACCCTTTCGTGTACTCAAAGCTGTAACCCTGTGTTTGCCCCATCCCGGCTCAGTGTCCCTGTGGGAAGGTGTGGGAGGGCGAAGGTGGTCACGGTCCCTGTAGCGCTCAGGCGCCCGATAACGAATTCTCTCGACTGCAGAGCAGTCCTGTCCCGAGGGGAACGCTGAAGATGATCCAGCCGTCCACAGCCGGGTCTCTCGTGGGCAGAGAGAACAAGGTATGTGTTGCGGGGCTAGAGCCTGTGCATGAAAACCATTTGCAAGATTTCCTTGGTTGGAAATACCCAAATCGCCCTGGCTGGCTGGTGTGGCTCAGTGGATAGAGTGTCGGCCTGCGGACTCAAGGGTCCCAGGTTCGATTCCAGTCAAGGGCATGTACCTTGGTCGCGGGCACATCCCCAGTAGGGGGTGTGCAGGAGGCGGCTGATTGATGTTTCTCTCATTGATGTTTCTGGCTCTCTCCCTTTCCCTTCCTCTCTGTTAAAAAAAAAAAAAAAATCAATAAAATGTACAATATTAAAAAGAAAAAAAATAACCAAATCATTGAAATTTGGCAATAATTTAAGAATAACAATTGAGTACTCCCCACACAAGTGGTTTTGTTTTAATTGCTCAGTTGAGGATTGATGGGTGTATTTCCACGGCAGCTGGTGAAAGGCTTGTCCAAACGGAAACATCGCAATGACCAGTCGGCGTGTAAGACTTCCGGCTCCGGAGGTCCTGCTGTCCCAGGGCGCGGTGAGGGCAAGATGCCTGGCGGAGCTGCCCAGGAGGCACTGGATCTCATGGTTGCAGGTGTGAGGGGCGTGGCGGGAGCCTTTGTCTGGGAAGTGCATTGTCCCACAGGTCAGTGTTGCCTCCTGCTGTCAGGACTCTGCCCACAGCCTCCTGGGCTGGGTGCACCACTAGTTCACTGTGATGCTCTCACACTGCTATTCCTTCTGGTTGTGAGCGTACAAGCGCCACATGTGGACAAGTCTCCCTGTTTTGTAAGATCCAGATATGGGTGCGGTATTAAAGGGAAGGATGCTGATTAACATGGCAACTTGAATATGGGATTGCCAAGGCTTAGAAGTAGTCTTTTCAGGAAAAGGGGTCTAGAGACTGCGTTTGAAGATAGGAATGGATGCGCCGGGAGGACATGAAGTAGGGATGGAGCCCGCAGGCGCCAGGCGGAAGTCCAGGGAGTGAGGACGGGAGGCGCTGGGCCGGGAGGACATGCGAGTCCGATGGAATGGCTGGCGGCACCGGGAGAGGAAGCTGGCGGTGGTTTTAGGCATCAGGGAAGGCATTGGTGTCGGTATTGATGGGAAATTGGAGCTTAAGGAAGTTCATTGACTTGCTCAAGGTCATGGAGTCCATGGGGCTCACTCTGAGCTGCGAGGTCAGTGAGGAGGAGGTGGCAGGCAGCAGGGCTTCGCAGGCCAAGCAGGGCAGGCTGGCTGCGGGACAGCAGCTCTGCTCGGGCGGGGTGAACTGCAGGGCTGGCGACACGCATGTCTGATTGGTTAAGATTTGGGGGCAAAACCCTCCAGTCACATACAGAAAGGGCTGCATCAGATTGCTGCTCGTCACAGACCCTCAGTGGGGTGTGTCAGAACCCCTAACATATCGGGGAATAAAATAGAACAAAGGTGACTTGGTTTTCTAACTTCAGGTTTACGAAAACGGGCATTGCCAGGTAGTGTGGGCGGTGCTAAGATTGTAAGAGGATGATGGGTTTCACAGCCGCGTGTCACGGGAGTGGCTTCAGAGTCTCCTGTAAAACTTTGCTTTTAGAAAACCCGTCCTCTCAGTACTGGAAGGAAGTGGCGGAGCAGCGGCGGAAGGCGCTTTATGAAGCGCTGAAGGAAAACGAGAAGGTGAGCACCGAGGAGAACTGGTGCCTTTTACCTTTTAACACCCCCCCCCCCCCCCCCCCCCCACACACACACACTGCGTACGTGCTGGGCTGGAGCAGTCGGCGCTGTGCTCTGGGCCTGGAGTTTACTGAGGCAGCTGATAGAATGTTAAACCAGGAGAAGCCTGTGTGGGCGCCAGCCACAGCCCCTCTGCTGGGGCTGCAGGCGTGTCAGTCACACGGGGGTGGGGGGGCGCCTTTGGGTGCGGCGGGAGGCGGGAACACAGCTGACCCCCGCCGCAGCTCCACAGGGAGATCGAGCAGAAGACGAGTGAGATCGCCCGCCTGCGGAGGGAGAACCAGGAGCTGGCGGAGGTGGCGCAGCACGTGCAGTACATGGCGGAGGTCCTGGAGGTGAGTGTCCCGCCTGGCCGAGCCGAGGACCCCGTTCACAGCCGCACGTTCCAGGCCCTTTAAGGCGTGTGCCCTGTGACCTTCCTGTGCTCACAGCGCGGCTCACTGGTCACGGGGAGTGTGGGGCTCCTCTGGCGTTCTTTAAGATCAGGGGGTAGCCTGTTGTCAGAATTAGCCTCGTGGCTGCTCCGTTACCAGGCTGAGCCTAAACGTCAGTCAACACCTGCTGATTGCTGATGCTTACAAAGTGTCATCTTGCTGGTGGGATGCAAGATTTCCAAATTAAACCTTTTTTGTCCTGATTTGCTTGCATGTTGGGGCCGTGACAGACTTTAACATCTGAGGTTCTCACCTGGCAGTGCTGTCACGGCCGCCTTGGCTGTGGGGTGCTGTCCACAGCGGCTGGGAGCGGTTGGCCTCCCCGCCTTAGAGGAGGGCTCATCATTCGAAGAGGTCATGCCTCCAGGAGCAGGCCAGCCAGCCACGTGACTGCTGCAGTGTGCTCCCACGTGGTGGAGACTGACCGGCCTGGTTATGAGTGGATTTAACTGAGACGGTGCAGTGACGAGGGTCACGTACCGCATTCGGAGCGTGGGCTTGGGTTTTAAAGTTTTATAACAAACACGTGGTTTATTCTTCACAAGCGACTGAAAGGAAACACTCTGGAGAACTTCGAATCGCCGGAGAGCAGCGAGGAGTTGGATTCTGAAGAGGAGGCGGGCGAGGATCCGGAGGCGGAAGGCCCTGGCGCGGGTGTGGGCGCCAAGGCAGCCACGTCCTCCTCCCCGGACGCCCAGCCGGGCATGTGAGCTGCCCGGGACTCGGAGACGTGCCCTGTTCCCGCCACGACAGCTCTTGGCAGAGCGAGTAGCTATGCGATAGCAGACGGGAAGCAGACAGCCTTGTTTGGCCCTGGGCTCCTATCGCATTAACATACAAATACCGTGTGTTTTAACCTGTGGTGTTTTATGTAAATAACGTTTTCTCAGATGTCAGGCTTGTGTACATGATAAATAAACTTGTTTCTTAGTCTAAGGAGTGAGATTTTCCTTCTACCCTCTTGTTTTGGAGGAAACAGGAGGAAATGAATTTGTCCCCTTCAGACAGAAATGTTGAGCTTTGACTGCCAAGCTGGTTGCATCCCCAGCTCTCAGGGTCGGGACTATATCGATTTCCAGCCCCACGACCCCCACTCTTCCTGAGGGGTGAGATAAAGAGCCCGAGAGGCAGTGTCAGGAGCTGTCCTGCGTCGGGCCCAGTGACGCAGGAATAGCTAAGGGTCCTGGGGGTGGGGGCAGGTGCACGCCCAGTGACGCAGGAATAGCTAAGGGTCCTGAAACACCCTTCCCATCAGACACAGAACAGAGCGTAGGTCTACGCCTGGTCGGCGCAGCTCGGGCTGAGTGTCCACCTGTGAACCAGGAGCTCACAGTTGGGTTCCGGGTCAGGGCACGTACCTGGGTAGCAGGCTCGATCCCCAGGGTGGGGTGTGCAGGAGGCAGCTTCATGAATGTTTCCATCTCCACCTCTCTTCCTCTAAAAAAGTCAACAAAAACATTTTTTTAAAAAACCATACAAATATGGAAGTAGGACCAGGTTGAAATTAATTAGGAGTTTCCCATAAGTCCGTTGTGCAGGAGGACAAGGACATGGGCGCATTGTGGAGTGCAGGGCCTAGGACTGAGCCTGTGCTCCGGGAGGCATGCGGCCTCCGTAAGTTAGCATCAGGGAGCACTCACGCATTGAAGGGTTGCTTCAGGCAAATTCTTGGTCACCAGGAAACACGGTGTTGATCCAGAGTTTGGAAAACTCCAGATGATGAATCTAATTTTCGTTTTTTTTTGTTTTTTTTTTTTTTTTTTTTTTTTACAGAGAGGAAGAGAGGGACAGAGAGAAATGCCGATGAAAGAGAATCATCGATCAGCTGCCTCTTGCACACCCCCTACTGGGGATGTGCCTGCAACCATGTACATGCCATTGACCGGAATCGAACCGGGGACCTTTCAATCCGCAGGCCGACGCTCTATCCATTGAGCCAAACCGGTTTTGGCATGAATCTAATTTTCAATGAGCTACCAATGTCGCAACCACGCCGTCTGATGTGCAAGAAGCTGGAGTTCTGGCAGCCAGAGAACGCCCCCACCCAGGACAGGGCAGCTGGAGCCGGCACGCGGTGGGCGTGGCTCTTCTGGGCCCCTGGGCTCACTACCCAATACCCGGTGACTCCCACCAGTGCCCCCGGCATCCTCCCAGAAATCCCCACCGGGTCACCTCCACCGGCAGGCGGCCGTCTTAGATCTATTCTTACTGATTTCAGAGGAGAGAGAGAGAAACATCCACGATGAGAGAGATCCATGCACGGGCTGCCTCCTGCACACTCCACACGGGATCGAGCCTGCACCTGGCATGTGGCCTGACCGGGAATCGAACCCCAGGACCCCTCCGTCCGCAGGCTGGCACTCTATCCGCCGGGTTTCCAACGACCTGACAAAAGAGGCCGGGGAGGAGCGCAAGGGCGTGGGTCCTTTATTTCTGCGCCCGGCTGGTGCCCTCAGTGCCGGTGGAAGCCGATGAGGAAGTACAGCACCTCGGCGAAGTTCTCCGGCCAGCCCTCCCAGTTCTCCCGCGCCAGCGCCTGCAGGTGCTGCTTGAGCGGGCGGAGCTCCCGCAGCTCCTCCACGTAGGACACGTTGTTGCAGGTCATGACGGACAGGGTGTAGCACGCCCAGAACTTCACCAGGAGGCCGCCGCCGCTGCTGGCGCTCCTGCCGGCCGCCGGCTCGGGGTCCGGCTCGGGGTCGGGGTCGAGCATCGCCGTGAGGATGGGGAGGAGCTTCAGGAACTTGGCCCTCTTCTGGGTGATGGGGTTCAGGTAGCACCAGCAGGCCACGCTCTGGAGCAGCAGGATCCTCGCCCTGGGGGCCACCTGGGCGTCCTGCAGCAGCAGCGCCACCTCCTTCATGTACTCGGCCGCAAACCGCCCGGCCATGGGGCCTCCTGGAAGGCAAGCGCCGGGTTTTTGGGGCCGCTTGGCCGGCCCGGCGGCCGGGAACGGGCGGCCCAGCGGTGCCCGTTCTTGCTGCCGCCCACGGATGGACGCCCGGGGTCTGGGGAACCTGTGGGCTCGGGGACCTGGGCTCTGGGACGTCCCCGCCTGCCGAGCACCCAGTCACCAGGCACCCGGCACCCGGGAGGCCTGGGTTCACGGGCACCTCCCTCGTGGTCTCGTTCCTGCTCCTCCGAGTGAAAAAACACCAGAGCGTTTGCCCCAGCCGGTCTGGCTCAGCGGAAAGAGTGTGGACCTGGGGACCGAAGGGTCCCGGGTTTGACTCCAGTCAGGGGCATGCACCTAGGCTGCAGGCTTGATGCCCAGCCCCGGTTGGGGCATGTGCGAAGGCAACCCGTCGGTGTTTCTCTCTTCTCTCTCCCTTCTGCTCTCTCTGGAAACCAAAGGGAAAATATCCTCCGTGAGGATGAAAACAGGAAACTACCAGAGCGTTAGAGCAGCGAAGAGAACCCAGAAGTCAGCTGCACAGCCGGGCCTGTGGGTGGAGAGGTTTCTCACCAGCTCGCTGCTCGCCGCTCTGCCTTCTCTCCCCTTCCAGCCCGGCTCTTGCAGGCCTGTGACCGGCGAGGCCCCCTGACCCCACCTGGTCCTGCACGTGACTTTGCTCCTCCTCCTGACCCGCAGGTCTTCCTCGTTCAGATCTCAAATGCCCGGAAGGGAGGAGCGAGAAGGCGCGGGTGGAGCCTGTTAGAGGTGAGGAGCGAGCAGCAGCCCCATCGCTGGCGGGTTCCGGCCCTGGAGTTCCCACCTGGCTTGCATTTCTCCTACATCCCAAGAATGCTCTCGTCAATGTTCAAGTTTCAGCTGAGCCCGGCCGGCGTGGCTGAGAGGCAACCTGTGAACCAGGAGGTCAGGGTTCGATCCCTGGTCAGGGCACATGCTCGGGTTGTGGGCTCCATCCCCAGAGTGGGGTGTGCAGGAGGCAGCCGATCCATAATTCTCTCTCATCATGGATGTTTCTCTCTCCTTCTCTCTTCCTCTCTGAAATAAGTAAAAATATATATTTTTAAAAAGAATCCTTTGTACCAAATACCTTAACCACCACAAAAACCAGATCCCTAAGGAGAAAATAATCAGTAATGTCTTTTGGGGTACAAAGACAGAAAACTAATAACTTAGGCAAAGGAAGAGCTGCTGGGATTTTAAGACGAACACCCTGAAGATGCCAACATAGTGTGGTAGCCAGAAAGGGGCGTGGAGCGGGACGGCCAGCCCCCCGCAGGGTCGCACCTGTGAAGGCCAGCAGTCCCAGCCGGTGGGCGGCCTGAGCCCTCTCCTCGATGGCCAGTAACTTGTTCTTCAACGTCTCGCCAAGGGCCCTGATCTTCTCTTTGTGAAAAACATTCTTCCCTGGCGGGATCTGCTCCTCCTCCTGCTTTCCGAAAAAGCCCAGGACGTGGACGTTCCAGAACCGCCAGAGGCACTGGCCCAGCCACACCACACACCGGTACACCGGACGATCATACTGCACAGAGAACACCCCGGGGCTGGCCATGGCGGACAGGCGGGCGCTCCCGGCCCACCGCGGCCACAACAGTCCAGAACTCTGGAATGCATCACCTAGCAACCGTCTCCCGGACGACCCGGGCTGGGGAGCAGAGGGTGCTGCCTGGGGTTTGGGCTGAGAACTCGGATGAAGGGTGATGCTTCTTACCCTCCAGGAGCTCAGAGTCTGTCTTTCTCCAAGGAGCTTCATAAAATACGCGAGGAGTGCCCAGCCAGCCTCGGTCTTGAACCAGGAGGGCACAATTCCATTCCCGGTCAGGGCACAGGCCGGGTCTGCAGGCTCGATTCCCAGTGCGGGGTGTGCAGGAGGCAGCCAGTCCATGATTCTCTTTCAACATTGATATTTCTATCTCCACTCCTTCTCCCTTCCTCTCTAAAATCAATAAAAATATATATTTAAAAGAAAATATCCGAGAAGCAAATGTTACTATCCCTATTTATGGATGAAGGAATGTCAAGTAGAGAACAAAGTGTCACGTGTGTACCAACTCACGAGGGCATGTGAAAAAATACAGCGGACTCTGTGCCCGAGACCAGAGATTCAAAAATAATTTTTATTTGAACGTCCAGGATGGGTACAGTGACAGATACAAATGCCACAAAACAACGCACCCCCTCAACCAAAGCAAAATGCAGAAGTGAATACAAAAGACCCGGAGTCCATTGCTCATGCAATATTCAAAATTTTTTTTTTTTTTTAAACACACACCAAAACCAACAAAACACTTGGTAACTTTCGTGATTTGAGTTTTGAGTTTTCTATATATAATATATTAAAAAAAAATCCTCTCCACCATTTCATATGGACGGCAGCTTATACAGACTAACTATAGACTGTACAAGGAACTTTTCAAAGGAAGGATATAGGCATATATATATATAATATTTATAAATATACAAATAGATATATATACACACACTGTAACTTCACAGTCCCAAGGACTATTTGCCGGGAAGCCCGGCAGACACAGTTTAACGTGAACTAAGAGCTGCTTTAAAGGTCTGCTGAAGTGTAAATATTTAGACGTGACACCTCACTGGTATCTTATACAAACACATCCAGAGCACAGTTCACGCTACACTCACACCTATTAGGTAACTTGGCATGTCCCGCCCCAAACATGCTTAGGAAGACACCCCGTTAGGTACCGGGAGCTCCCGGGCGGGTACCGACTTTAGCGACGGGGGTGGCTGCTGTTCTATTTGGCCAAGGGGTCCCAGCAGGGGGCAGTCACCACCCCAAGGGGCAGCCTTCATCCTGACCTCATGGGGTTGTCACGGGAGCAAGGACCCCTTTTCAATGTCCCTCCAACTTCCGCGCCCTCGCACCTCCTGGGACGCCCCAGCTTTTCTGAATCGGCACTGGGTTTGGTCTTAGCAGCTGAGAACCTCGATTGAAAAAAGATCAGTAAAAAAATGGCTCGTTTGTTCAAAAATACAAGGCTACGGGTGGCGTGCCTCTGTGTTTGAGGAGGAGGGTGTGACCTCATGAGGTCGTCTGCTCCCGGCCACCTCCCCGCCACCATGGGAACACGCCTCTGGAGCTCTGGGGAGGGGGAAGAGGAGCAGGAGGCACAGTGACACGGGACACGGGACACGGGGCCACATCACGCTCTTACAGGTGGCGTCCTGCCCGGGCCTGCAGGCAGGCAGGCAGGCAGGCTTTTATTGGAAGGAACTGCTTTTTGTGCTTTTCACAGAAGGTAACATCAGGCCGCTGGTGGGGGTTGGGGGTCGGGACCCTCCACCCTGAGAACACGATGGAGAGAACAGCAGCTGTCGGACATTTACCGAGCCTCACAGGGCGGCCGCAGGCTCTAACGTCTGGAAAAGCACAAAGGTGGCTGTTGTGTGTGTGTGTGTGTTTTAAAAAGATGGCTGTTTTTGTTGTTATTTTTTAAAGATGGCTGTTTTTGTTTCTCATGTTATTTTTTAAAGATGGCTGTTTTGAAATTCCATCCGTGTCACCGACCACGACGGGCTCTGTTGCGCAGCCTGTCCACAGCCGGCGCGGTGGCTGGCCTGCTGCGCCGCACACGGCCCTCTGGAGCGGCCGGCAAGAGGCCCCCCCGTCTGCACCGCGGGAGGTTGCCGGCTGCACGCCGGCGCCTGCGGGCCCACGGCCGTCTGCGAAGGCAGCTGCGGGGCCGTTAAAAGGCCGTGGCCACCTCGGTCCCGTGGCGGCCTCCGACGTGGACGCAGTCCCGGGGGAACTTGTCCAGCTGCTCGTAGGCCAGCCGCCCGTCTTCCCCTGGATGGGGCGGGAGAAACGGGACGGCGTCAGCTCAGCGCCTCCGGGAGAGGCCGCCCTCGGGGTCGGACACACCGCTCCCTCCGGGTGGGGCTCTGTCTTGGGGGCTGAGGCCAGAGACGGGACGCGGGCGGGGAGGCAGGGTGCTGGGGCCCGGGGCGCCCGTGAGGGCACGATGCAGGTTTATTCCCGCAATTCCCAGGGAACCTATGGCGGGCAGGGCCCGGCCGCCATGGGGCAGCCCTTGACCTCTGAGCATGCAGCGCCCACACGGCTGTAACTGTTACACGTCTGTACTGGCGCCTGCATGGTCGGTCATAAAGGTCACATTTAGGCTTTCAGACGCCAGCCCAAACGTCATCATGTGAATGTGGTGAGAGTCTGCCGCCCACCACCGGCCAGGCTGTCAGTACGAACGCCTGGAACGGCCACTGGGTATCCGTCCCTGGACTGCTTTGTTCCCTCCTTCCTCTTTAGACACGTGACCAGAGGCGGGGGCGTGAGGTCAGAGGACCGGCAGTGAGAAGTCCCTCCACCTCACACAGACCACGGACCCCCCGCTGTGCTCAGCCAGGCTTCATGTCAACAGCCCGCCGGCGACCTATGACCCAGGAGGTCAGGGTTCAATTCCTGGTCAGGGCACATGCCTGGGTCTCGGGCTCGGCCCCCAGGGAGGGGTGTGCAGGAGGCAGGAGCCGGGACCCCAGCTCCTGCCACTTCGGTGTGATTTCCAGGTTCTTACCCCGAAACCCATCCCAAAGGCTCCCGGCCTCCCTTCCGAGTGCAGGGTCAGGACAGAGACGGGGAGTCGTGGACACTGAGGAGTCCTCATGCTGTGCGCCCGCGTGTACACATGTGTACGTGTATGCACGTGCGTTGTGTGTACATGTGTACACGCGTGAGCGTGTCTATTGTGTGTATGTGTGTGAGTATGTGTGTGTGTGAATAGTGTGTGTGTGCATGTGTGTGTGTATGAGTGTGAGCAGGCAGCCATGGGGGACTCACACGGTGCACAGGGAACCCCTGGACAGCGCTGCAAAGGACTCAAAAGCACGCAGCCCTGCGCACACTCACCCCGCGCACACTCACCCCCCGAGCACACTCACCCCCCCCCCGCGCACACTCACTCCACGCGCACACTCACCCCGCGCACACACACACCCCGCGCACACTCACCCCCCGAGCACACTCACCCCCCGCGCACACTCACCCCCCGCGCACACTCACCCCGCACACACACCACCCCCCCGAGCACACTCACCCCGCGCACACTCACCCCCCGAGCACACTCACCCCCCCGCGCACACTCACTCCACGCACACACACACCCCGCGCACACTCACCCCCCGCGCACTCACCCCCCGCGCACACTCACCCCCCGCGCACACTCACCCCCCGCGCACACTCACCCCGCGCACACTCACCCCGCGCACACTCACCCCCGCGCACACGCCACCCCCGCGCACACTCACCCCCCGCGCACACTCACCCCCCGCGCACACTCACCCCCCGCGCACACTCACCCCCGCGCACACTCACCCCGCGCACACTCACCCCGCGCACACTACCACCCCCCGCGCACACTCACACCCCCGCTCACACTCACCCCGCGCACACTCACCCCGCGCACACTCACCCCTCGCACACTCACCCGCGCACACTCACCGCGCACACTCCACCTCACACTCACCACCGCGCACACTCAGCCGCTAACACTCACCCCGCGCACACTCACCCCGCGCACACTCACCCCGCGCACACTCACCCCGCGCACACTCACCCCGCGCACACTCACCCCCCGCGCACACTCACCCCGCGCACACTCACCCCGCGCACACTCAGCCCCGCGCACACTCACCCCGCGCACACTCACCCCGCGCACACTCACCCCGCGCACACTCACCCCCGCGCACACTCACCCCCCGCGCACACTCACCCCCCCCGCGCACACTCACCCCCCCGCCGCACACTCACCCCCGCGCACACTCACCCCACGCACACACACACCCCGCGCACACTCACCCCCCGCGCACACTCACCCCCCGCGCACACTCACCCCCCGCGCACACTCACCCCCGCACACCACCCCCCGCGCACACTCACCCCCCCGCGCACACTCACCCCTCGCACACTCACCCCCCCGCGCACACTCACCCCGCGCACACTCACTCACCCCCCACGCACACTCACCCCCCGCGCACACTCACCCCCCGCGCACACTCACCCCGCGCACACTCACCCCGCGCACACTCACCCCGCGCACACTCACCCCCGCACACCACTCACCCCGCGCACACTCACCCCGCGCACACTCACCCCCCCCCGCACACACTCACCCTGTGCACACTCAGCCCCGCGCACACTCACTCCACGCACACACACACCCCGCGCACACTCACCCCCCGCGCACACTCACCCCGCGCACACCCCCCCCGCGCACACTCACCCCCGCGCACACTCACCCCCGCCGCTCACCCCGCGCACGCTCACCCCCCGCGCACACTCACCCCGCGCACACTCACCCCGCGCACACTCACCCCGCGCACACTCACCCCGCGCACACTCACCCCCGCGCACACTCACCCCCCGCGCACACTCACCCCGCCCACACTCACTCACCCCCCGCGCACACTCACCCCCCGCGCACACTCACCCCCCGCGCACACTCACCCCGCGCACACTCACCCCGCGCACACTCACCCCGCGCACACTCACCCCTCGCACACTCACCCCCCCGCGCACACTCACCCCCCGCGCACACTCACCCCCCGCGCACACTCACCCCGCGCACACTCACCCCCCGCGCACACTCACCCCGCGCACACCCCCCCCGCGCACACTCACCCCCCCGCGCACACTCACCCCGCGCACACTCACCCCGCGCACACTCACCCCGCGCACACTCACCCCGCGCACACTCACCCCGCGGCACACTCACCCGCGCACACTCACCCCGCGCACACTCACCCCGCGCACACTCACCCCGCGCACACTCACCCCGCGCACACTCAGCCCCGCGCACACTCACCCCCCGCGCACACTCACCCCGCGCACACTCACCCCCCGCGCACACTCACCCCCGCGCACACTCACCCCCCGCGCACACTCACCCCGCGCACACTCACCCCGCGCACACTCACCCCCCGCGCACACTCACCCCCGCGCACACTCACCCCCGCGCACACTCACCCCCCGCGCACCACTCACCCCGCGCACACTCACCCCCGCGCACACTCCCCGCGCACACTCACCCCGCGCACACTCACCCCGCGCACACTCACCCCGCGCACACTCACCCCGCGCACACTCACCCCGCGCACACTCACCCCGCGCACACTCACCCCGCGCACACTCACCCCGCGCACACTCAGCCCCGCGCACACTCACCCCGCGCACACTCACCCCCCCCCGCGCACACTCACCCCGCGCACACTCAGCCCCGCGCACACTCACTCACCCCCCGCACACACATCACCCCGCGCACACTCACCCCCCCGCGCCACACTCACCCCGCGCACACTCACCCCGCGCACACTCACCCCCCGCGCACACTCACCCCCCGCGCACACCCAGCCCCGCGCACACTCACCCCGCGCACACTCACCCCCCGCGCACACTCACCCCGCGCACACTCACCCCGCGCACACTCACCCCGCGCACACTCACCCCGCGCACACTCAGCCCCGCGCACACTCACCCCGCACACACTCACCCCGCGCACACTCACCCCGCGCACACTCACCCCGCGCACACTCACCCCCGCGCACACTCACCCCGCGCACACTCACCCCCGCGCACACTCACCCCGCGCACACTCACCCCCCGCGCACACTCACCCCCCGCGCACTCACCCCGCGCACACTCACCCCGCGCACACTCAGCCCCGCGCACACTCACCCCGCGCACACTCACCCCCCCGCGCACACTCACCCCGCGCACACTCACCCCCCGCGCACACTCACCCCGCGCACACCCTCACCCCCCGCGCACACTCACCCCCCGCGCACACTCACCCCCGCGCACACTCACCCCGCGCACACTCCCCCCCGCGCACACTCACCCCGCGCACACTCACCCCCCGCGCACACTCACCCCGCGCACACTCACCCCCCGCGCACACTCACCCCGCGCACACACTCACCCCCGCGCACACTCACCCCGCGCACACTCACCCCCGCGCACACTCACCCCGCGCACACTCCCCCGCGCACACTCACCCCGCGCACACTCACCCCGCACACCCCGCCGCACACTCACCCCCCGCGCACAACTCACCCCGCGCACACTCACCCCGCGCACACTCACCCCGCGCACACTCACCCCGCGCACACTCACCCCGCGCACACTCACTCACCCCCCCCCCCGCACACTCACCCCGCGCACACTCACCCCGCGCACACTCACCCCCCCCGCGCACACTCACCCCGCGCACACTCAGCCCCGCGCACACTCACCCCGCGCACACTCACCCCGCGCACACTCACCCCGCGCCACCACCCCACCCCCCGCGCACACTCACCCCGCGCACACTCACCCCGCGCACACTCACCCCGCGCACACTCACCCCGCGCACACTCACCCCGCGCACACTCACCCCCCCGCACACACTCACCCCCCGCGCACACTCAGCCCCGCGCACACTCACCCCGCACACACTCACCCCCCGCGCACACTCACCCCGCGCACACTCACCCCCGCGCACACTCACCCCGCGCACACTCACCCCCCGCGCACACTCACCCCCGCGCACACTCACCCCCCGCGCACACTCACCCCGCGCACACACTCACCCCCCCGCGCACACTCACCCCGCGCACACTCAGCCCCGCGCACACTCACCCCCGCGCACACTCCCCCCCCCCGCGCACACTCACCCCCCGCGCACACTCACCCCGCGCACACTCACCCCGCGCACACTCACCCCGCGCACACTCACCCCGCGCACACTCACCCCCCCCGCGCACACTCACCCCGCGCACACTCACCCCGCCGCACACTCACCCCGCGCACACTCACCCCCGCGCACACTCACCCCGCGCACACTCACCCCCGCGCACACTCACCCCCGCGCACACTCACCCCCGCGCACACTCACCCCGCGCACACTCCACCCCGCGCACACTCACCCCCGCGCACACTCACCCCGCGCACACTCACCCCCCGCGCACACTCACCCCGCGCACACTCACCCCGCGCACACTCCACCCGCGCACACTCACCCCGCGCACACTCACCCCCGCGCACACTCCCCCCCCGCGCACACTCACCCCCGCGCACACTCACCCCCCGCGCACACTCACCCCCGCGCACACTCACCCCGCGCACACTCACCCCGCGCACACTCACCCCGCGCACACTCACCCCCCGCGCACACTCACCCCGCGCACACTCACCCCGCGCACACTCACCCCGCGCACACTCACCCCGCGCACACTCACCCCGCGCACACTCACCCCGCGCACACTCACCCCCCGCGCACACTCACCCCGCGCACACTCACCCCCCGCGCACACTCACCCCCCGCGCACACACTCACCCCGCGCACACTCACCCCCGCGCACACTCACCCCCCGCCACACCCACCCCGCGCACACTCACCCCCGCGCACACTCACCCCCCGCGCACACTCACCCCGCGCACACTCACCCCGCGCACACTCACCCCCCGCGCACACTCACCCCGCGCGCACACTCACCCCGCGCACACTCACCCCCCGCGCACACTCACCCCCCGCGCACACTCACCCCGCGCACACTCACCCCCCGCGCACACTCACCCCCGCACACACTCACCCCCGCGCACACTCACCCCCGCGCACACTCACCCCCGCGCACACTCCCCCCCCGCGCACACTCACCCCGCGCACACTCACCCCCCGCGCACACTCACCCCCCGGGCACACTCACCCCCCCGCACACTCACCCCGCGCACACTCACCCCCGCGCACACTCACCCCCCGCGCACACTCACCCCCCGCACACTCACCCCCGCGCACACTCACCCCCGCGCACACTCACCCCCGCGCACACTCACCCCCCGCGCACACTCACCCCGCGCACACTCACCCCCGCGAACACTCACCCCCGCGCACACTCACCCCGCGCACACTCACCCCCGCGCACACTCACCCCGCGCACCACTCACCCCGCGCACACTCACCCCCCGCGCACACTCACCCCCCGCGCACACTCACCCCGCGCACACTCACCCCCCCGCGCACACTCACCCCTCGCACCACTCACCCCGCGCACACTCACCCCCCCGCGCACACTCACCCCCGCGCACACTCACCCCGCGCACACTCACCCCCCGCGCACACTCACCCCCCGCGCACACTCACCCCCCGCACACTCACCCCGCGCACACTCACCCCCGCGCACACTCACCCCCGCGCACACTCACCCCCCGCGCACACTCACCCCGCACACTCACCCCCGCGCACACTCACCCCCCGGGCACACTCACCCCCCGCGCACACTCACCCCGCGCACACTCACCCCCCGCGCACACTCACCCCCCGGGCACACTCACCCCCCGCGCACACTCACCCCGCGCACACTCACCCCCCGCGCACACTCACCCCGCGCACACTCACCCCCCGCGCACACTCACCCCGCGCACACTCACTCACCCCCCCGCGCACACTCACCCCCCGCGCACACTCACCCCCCCCCGCACACTCACCCCGCGCACACTCACCCCGCGCACACTCACCCCGCGCACACTCACCCCGCGCACACTCAACCCCCCCGCACACTCACCCCGCGCACACTCACCCCCCGCGCACACTCACCCCGCGCACACTCGCCCCGCGCACACTCAGCCCCGCGCACACTCACCCCGCGCACACTCACCCCCGCGCACACTCACCCCGCGCACACTCACCCCGCGCACACTCACCCCGCGCACACTCACCCCGCGCACACTCACCCCGCGCACACTCACCCCCCCCTCGCGCACACTCACCCCGCGCACACTCACCCCGCGCACACTCACCCCCCGCGCACACTCACCCCCCGCGCACACTCACCCCGCGCACACTCACCCCCCGCGCACACTCACCCCCCGCGCACACTCACCCCGCGCACACTCACCCCGCGCACACTCACCCCGCGCACACTCCCCCCGCGCACACTCAGCCCCGCGCACACTCACCCCGCGCACACTCACCCCCCCCCGCACACACTCACCCTGTGCACACTCAGCCCCGCGCACACTCACCCCGCACACACTCACCCCCCCGCGCACACTCACCCCGCGCACACTCACCCCCCCGCGCACACTCACCCCCGCACACTCACCCCCGCGCACACTCACCCCCCGCGCACACTCACCCCCCGCGCACACTCACCCCGCGCACACTCACCCCCCGCGCACACTCACCCCGCGCACACTCACCCCGCGCACACTCACCCCGCGCACACTCACCCCGCGCACACTCAGCCCCGCGCACACTCACCCCGCGCACACTCACCCCCCCCGCACACACTCACCCTGCGCACACTCAGCCCCGCGCACACTCACCCCGCACACACTCACCCCCCCGCGCACACTCACCCCGCGCACACTCACCCCCCGCGCACACTCACCCCGCGCACACTCACTCACCCCCCGCGCACACTCACCCCCCGCGCACACTCACCCCCCCCGCACACTCACCCCGCGCACACTCACCCCGCGCACACTCACCCCGCGCACACTCACCCCCCGCGCACACTCACCCCCCCGCACACTCACCCCGCGCACACTCACCCCCCCGCACACTCACCCCGCGCACCACTCACCCGCGCACACTCAGCCCCGCGCACACTCACCCCGCGCACACTCACCCCCCGCGCACACTCACCCCGCGCACACTCACCCCGCGCACACTCACCCCGCGCACACTCACCCCGCGCACACTCACCCCGCGCACACTCACCCCCCCCCCCGCGCACACTCACCCCGCGCACACTCACCCCGCGCACACTCACCCCCCGCGCACACTCACCCCCCGCGCACACTCACCCCGCGCACACTCACCCCCCGCGCACACTCACCCCCCGCGCACACTCACCCCCCGCACACTCACCCCGCGCACACTCACCCCCCGCGCACACTCACCCCCCGCGCACACTCACCCCGCGCACACTCACCCCCCGCGCACACTCACCCCCCGGGCACACTCACCCCCCGCGCACACTCACCCCGCGCACACTCACCCCCCGCGCACACTCACCCCCCGCGCACACTCACCCCCCGCGCACACTCCCCCCGCGCACACTCACCCCCCGCGCACACTCACCCCCCGCGCACACTCACCCCCCGCGCACACTCACCCCGCGCACACTCACCCCCCGCGCACACTCACCCCCCGCGCACACTCACCCCGCGCACACTCACCCCGCGCACACTCACCCCGCGCACACTCACCCCGCGCACACTCACCCCGCGCACACTCACCCCCCCCTCGCGCACACTCACCCCGCGCACACTCACCCCGCGCACACTCACCCCCCGCGCACACTCACCCCCCGCGCACACTCACCCCGCGCACACTCACCCCCCGCGCACACTCACCCCCCGCGCACACTCACCCCCCGCACACTCACCCCGCGCACACTCACCCCCCGCGCACACTCACCCCCCCGCGCACACTCACCCCGCGCACACTCACCCCCCGCGCACACTCACCCCCCGGGCACACTCACCCCCCGCGCACACTCACCCCGCGCACACTCACCCCCCGCGCACACTCACCCCCCGGGCACACTCACCCCCCGCGCACACTCACCCCGCGCACACTCACCCCCCGCGCACACTCACCCCCCGCGCACACTCACCCCCCGCGCACACTCACCCCGCGCACACTCACCCCCCGCGCACACTCACCCCCGCGCACACTCACCCCGCGCACACTCACCCCGCGCACACTCACCCCGCGCACACTCACCCCCGCGCACACTCACCCGCGCACACTCACCCCGCGCACACTCACCCCGCGCACACTCACCCCCCCGCGCACACTCACCCCCGCGCACACTCACCCCGCGCACACTCACCCCCCGCGCACACTCACCCCCCGCGCACCCACGCACACTCACCCCCCGCGCACACTCACCCCCCGCACACACCCCCCCCGCACACACACCCCCCGCGCACACTCACCCCGCGCACACTCACCCCCCCCGCGCACACTCACCCCCTCGCACACTCACCCCGCGCACACTCACCCCCTGCGCACACTCACCCCCCGCGCACACTCACCCCCCGCGCACACTCACCCCGCGCACACTCACCCCCCCGCACACTCACCCCGCGCACACTCACCCCCCCCGCGCACACTCACCCCGCGCACACTCACCCCGCGCACACTCACTCCGCGCACACTCACCCCGCGCACACTCACCCCGCGCACACTCACCCCCCCCCCGCGCACACTCACCCCCCGCGCACACTCACCCCCCGCGCACACTCACCCCGCGCACACTCACCCCGCGCACACTCACCCCCCCCCCGCGCACACTCACCCCCCGCGCACACTCACCCCCCGCGCACACTCACCCCGCGCACACTCACCCCGCGCACACTCACCCAGAGACAGGAGGGTCTCGGTGGCCACGTTTCTGATCTCCTCCACGTCCGACTGGCACAGGCTCACCAGCATCCTGATGCTCTCTGTGGCCTGCGGGTGGTGGGTGGTGGGGGTGGACAGCGTGAGCGGACACCTGTCCGGGGCTGTGGGGACCAGCATCAGCCTGTGGGGGCCTCCCAGTGGCGGGAGCCGGGCGCCACCCCACAGGCAGGGTGAACTCCTGGACGGAGCCAGGTCCCCAGTGGCAGGTGCCCTGCTGGCTTCGTTGTATTTCCTCTGACTTCGTTATTTACATTATTATCGGAAATCTGAGGACTGCAGCGGAGGGGGCTGGACGGGCCCTCTCGTGCCTCCCGCAGGCCGCCCCGTCTGACTGTGACTGAATCTCGGTGAAGGGCCAGCTGCCGGGAGAGCCGTCACGGGGACGGCTGGCCCACGGCACCCTGGGCCAGAGCTGTGCGCAGTGGACACCACGCCCATCAGTGGCCTTCTCAGCCTCTCCGGGGGGGAGGGGGCGCGAGGGGAACAGAGACACTTCCCGGGACTGACCCAGCGACAGACAGCACTGGTTTCTAGTTACTGCTTCAAGGAGAGAAGAAGGACTCCAAGCAGCAAGCAGGGCAAAGGAGACCAGCCATGCGGCTAACCTGGCACTTCACACGCACATGCACACACACACACACACACACATGGCTCAGTCCTGCACCACAGACAGACACACACACAAACACACACGGCTCAGTCCCTCGGCCTCACCTGCAGGCTCTGCAGAGCCAGGCACGCCGCCTTCTGCAGCTGCAGGTCGCGGGCGGTCAGGGCCTCGCAGTAGTAGAGCAGGGCCTGGCGGGGGGGGGAGGGCAGTGAGCACCCCAGCCGCGCTGGCTTTGGGTTCCCAGCTACTGCCTGACACAGACCACAGCTCACACCCTGCTTTCTGCACTGCCTTCAGAGCCAACAGCCCTTTACAACGCATGTTTGCTAAAAGAGCTGTCTCTGTAGATGTCCTGTCCGGTGTGCGGATGCCGAGTGCGGCCGGGGCGGGGGCTCTGGGAGGAGGAAGCTGGAAGGTGCACGGCCATGAGCCCAGCTTTCGGGGGACTCGGCCCCGAGACGTGCTCAGCAGGAACCGTGCTATTTCACAGTGCACTCACCAGAGGGCGCGCTTATGCTTTTAGAGAGGGAGGGAGGGCGAGGGGGAGGATTTGGGAGGGACAGGGGAGAGGGGGAGGGAGAGGGAGAGAGAGAGAGAGAAGCATCGATTGGTCGCCTCCCATACATGCCCCAACTGGGAGTCGAACCGGAAACCGTTGGGTGTATAGGATGCTGCTGCAACCAACGGAGCCACCGACCAAGACACAAATTCGTGCCTGACCCGGGGCCCCGTGGTTGAGTGCCGACCGCGGAACCAGGAGGTCCCGGTTTGATTCCGGGTCAGGGCAGACGCCTGGGTTGTGGGGTGTGCAGGAGAATTTATCCATGATTCTCTCTCGTCGTTGATGACCCTCGCTCTCTCCCCCTCTCCCTTCCTCTGAAATCAGTACAGAATATTTCTTAAAGAAGACGCACACTCTTTCTACGGGGGGGGAAGCGAGCGGCACGACAGCCACAGCAGGCGACGGGCCGGAAGCGGCCTACCTTCTCCCTGAAATGCTGGTTCCCAGCGGCCGCCTCCAGGTACAGCCGCACGGCCTGGCTGACGCCGCGGTCGGCGCCGGTGAGGAGCAGCGCCAGGGCCCGGAGCACCTCCCGCTGGGCCGGCAGGCCGCTGACCGCCTGCCGCAGCTTCTCCTCCCGCAGCGACTGCAGGCTGCGCGCCATGGCGACTGGAGAGGACGCAGAGGAGGGCGCTCAGCGAGCAGCGCCCCCAGTGGCGACCCCGCGTGGGGGCAGTCAGGCGGGGCCGAGGGGTCTCCGCTCCCTCGGGCCAGGGGCCGTCAGTGACTCTGTTAAGGCCAGGGAGGAGCTTGGGAGGAGAGCGGGCGTGGCCGCCGGCCCATAACGGCCACGAAATTAACTGTCAGGTGAACTAAACCGGCAAATAAAAAATGCACAGCGAGTCTGGCCGGCGGGGCTCCGGGGTCGAGTGTTGACCTATGAACCAGGAGGTCACGGTCCGATTCCCGGTCAGGGCACAGGCCCGGGTGGCGGCCTCCCTCTCCGGTGGGGGGCGTGCAGGAGGCAGCCGGTCCAGGATTCTCTCTCATCACGGGTGTTTCTCTCTCTCCCCCTCCCTTCCTCTCTGAAAGCAGTCACACAGAGAAGGTGGCGGCCGGAGGCCACTCCGTGTCCCTCCGCCCCAGGCCCGGGAGTGCCCACCTTGCCCCGCCAGCTGCCGCACGTGGCCCTCCAGGCCGCCGGCTCCCGGGCCGGAGAAGTAGCCGTGAAACTGGAAGACGGTGACCACCTCGGAGGCCAGGCTGGGGGGCAGCAGGGGCTCCGGCCGGTCCAGCATCTGGGCCACCAGCGTCCGGAACACTGTCGGGGAAGGGAAGACACGGGCGGCCGCTCAGGGCCACGGCCACGCACCCTTCCTCCCCCGTCTCTCCCCGGAGAGGCCACCGGGGACTAACCCAGGCGCAGCGGGGACTGTGCCGCCCGCGTCCGGCCACCTGGAGCCCTCCCCCTGCACGTTAGCACAGCCTGCACCCCACGTTCACAGCCACGGATGACACGGTGAGCTGGTAGGGAGCGGACTCCTTTCCTCATCAAAAGAGCCGAGATTCACCCAAAACGGAGCCTGTACCCCAACTCCGTCTTCTTATCCTGGCCTCCCAGCCCCGGGGGAGTGGGGAGGTGACGGCATCCGGCTCTGAAGCAGGGCATGGGCCTCCCCTCCCCTCCCCTCCCCTCCCCTCCCCTCTGACGCACGGCCTGGAGCTGGGCAGACTCCGCATGCACCGCCCTCCTCTGTGAGCACACGCCTCTCCCAGCCCTCCGCAGCGGGTGCCGGCTCCCGGGGTACAAACTGCCGCGTTCCCCAGGGGTCTCCCACCCACACATCAGGGTGGGGAGGCGCCCGAAGGCGGGGCTCTCCCAGGGCCCTGGCTGCTCGGAGTCCGCACGCGCTCCGTCTGGTTTCTTAGCCTCACTGAGCCCAGGCCGCGTCCTTCTCCGGAGGGAGGCCGGGCGTCCAGGGTGACAGCGGGTGGAGGGGCGGGGACGCCGGGACAGACCGCCCCCCCCCAAACACACACACACACACACACACACACACACACTCACACACACACACACACACACTCACACACACACACTCACACACACACACACACACTCACACACACACACTCACACACACACACTCACACACACACACACACTCACACACACACACTCACACACTCACACACACACTCACACACACACACACACACACTCACACACACACACTCACACACACACACTCACACACACACACACTCACACACTCACACACACACACACACTCACACACACACACACACACACTCACACACACACTCACACACTCACACACACACACACTCACACACACACTCACACACACACACTCACACACACACACTCACACACACACACTCACACACACACACACACTCACACACTCACACACACACTCACACACTCACACACACACACACACACTCACACACACACACACACACTCACACACACACAACACACACACTCACACACTCACACACACACACACACACTCACACACACACTCACACACACACACACCACACACACACTCACACACACACACACACTCACACACACACACACGGCGCCCACCTGGGTCTGCCAGGCCCGGGTAGTCCGCGTCGATGGCGCCGGCGAAGCTGGCCTCCAGCTGCTGGACCAGCCGGTCGGCCGAGCTGTGGTACACGCCCGCCGGGCCGCAGCACGCGGTCCAGAGGGACAGCAGGGCCGGCTGCTGGTGGAGCTCGGGGACGGCTGGAAGGAAGGACGGACGGACGGACGCCCGTGAGGCCGGGAGAGGGGCCGAAGGGAGAAGGGGGGAGGGGCGGAGTGTGCAGAGGCGGAGGGGGGAGGGGGAGGGTCGGAGGGGGAGGGGCAGAGGAGAAGGGACGGAGGGGGAAGGGGGGAGAGGGGAGGGGCGGAGGGTGCAGAGGGGGAGGGGCGGAGGGGGGAGGGTGCAGAGGGGGAGGGGCGGAGGGGGAGGGGGGAGGGGGAGGGGCGGAGGGTGCGGAGGAGGAGGGACGGAGGGGGAAGGGGGAAGGGGGAGGGGCGGAGGGGTGGAGGGTGCAGAGGGGGAGGGACGGAGTGGGGAGGGTGCAGAGGGGGAGGGGCGGAGGGGGAAGGGGGGAGAGGGGAGGGGTGGAGGGTGCAGAGGGGGAGGGACTGAGTGGGAGGGGGAGGGACGGAGGGGGGAAGGGCGGAGGGGCGGAGGGAGGAGGGGCGAAGGGTGCGGAGGAGGAGGGACGGAGGGGGAAGGGGGAAGGGGGGAGGGCGGAGGGGTGGAGGGTGCAGAGGGGGGAGGGGTGGAGGGTGCAGAGGGGGAGGGGGGAGGGGGAGGGGGAGGGACGGAGTGGGAGGGGCGGAGGGTGCAGAGGGGGAGGGACGGAGGGGCGAAGGGTGCAGAGGGGGAGGGACTGAGTGGGAGGGGGAGGGACGGAGGGGGTCAGCGTGGCCTCCGGGCAGGCCTCACCGTCCAGGACGGAGCCGATGCTCCCCAGGTGCTCGTCACTGAGGGCGGCGAGCTTCTCCATGACGCGGATTTGCCGGGAAAGCTTCTCCAGGAGGCTCCTCGCCACGAAGGGGGTTTTGCTGGAGAAGACAATTTGCTGGGGAGGAAGCAGAGCGCTGGCTCAGGCGTGCGGTCCAGGCCCCTCCCCACCCGCGCTTCCTGTGCCCGGGGGGGCGGGCTGACCCCGCGCTGCCCTCATCCCTGGCCACGACGCTCCTGGGCCCGCCTGCCGGAACCAGCGGGCCCCTGTGGCTTTTCGCGTGGCCCGCGCCCACGCACGTTCTGGAACTCTCCGCGGGGAGCGGGGAGGCGGCTAAAAGCCAGTGAGCCCTCTCCCCGCGGAGGGCGGTCCAGGCTGCACGTGGGCGTGCACGCCCCAGGAGACGTATTTTACAGACGCGTGGTGTTCCCGAGCCTGGGTCTACTGTAGGGGTGTCGAATTCAATCAGAGAAGGGGCCAAAATCTAAAATCCAGCCTAAATCGCGGGCCGAATGGTTTACTGAACAGTCATAAACTGTCATTGTGATGGAAACGCAGCGGAGTGCAGTGATGACAGCGCGGTGCGGGCCACATGGCAAGGCCTGGCGGGACGGAGTTGGCCCGCGGGCCTTGTGTTTGACACATGTGGTCTACTGCCTTGTTTCCGAGCGGAAAGCAGCAGCGCGGTATCTAATAGTCATAACTATCACCAACAGTCTCGGCCGGCCGGCGTGGCTCCGGGGCTGAGCATCGGCCTGTGACCCAGGAGGTCAGGGTTCAATTCCCGTCAGGGCACAGGCCCGGGTGCTGGGCTCCCTCCCCAGTGGGGGGCGTGCAGGAGGCAGCCAGCCGGTCAGCGGTTGTCTCTCATTGTGGCTGTCTCTCTCCCGCTCCCTTCCTCTCCGAGATCAGTAAAAACACGTTAATAAAGAAGCGCACGCAGTCCTGGAGCCCGGGCCGGGGCCGGGCGCGGGGCCGCCCGCCGTACCTGCACCAGCCGGGTGCACTGCTGCAGGTGCCGGACGATGGCGATGTCCAAGCTCTCGCTGCCCGTGGTCAGTGGGAGGGGGCTGCCTGCCACGCTGGTGCCCACGCCCGTGTCCTCCGTCAGCGCCTCGCTGAGGTGCGCCCTGGCCTCGGGGTGGGCCGACCTGCACCTGGTGAATGAAGCAGGGAGGTGAGTGGCTGGCGGGCCGTCTCTTTCCGCGTGGAAAGCACGGGCTTCCCGGCGTGGCTCCCCTCAGGCCCCCCAGAGAGACACGCTGATGCGAGAGAAACACATCGGCGGGCTGCCTCCTGCACGGCCCCGACTGGAATCAAACCCCGGGACCCTTTGGTCTACAGGTGGATGCTCTATCCACTGAGCAACCCAGCCAGGGCTGGAGCTGCCTCACAAACACGACGTCTCAAGCCGCCCGCCTGTCGCCAGCGTGCCTGCTGTAAAGGTCAGGCAGAGCCATGGCTTCCCAGGCTCTTGGTGCCCAGAACCACTCGCCGCCACCTCACCGCGTCTCCGAGGCCTGCCCCGACGGCGCTCCCGATGGGGCCCTGCCCGGGGGCCCCGCTGAGACCGTCTGTGTGTTTGCAACGTCCGGGGAGCAGAACTGCTCAGGACGCACCTGCGCGGCCGCTTCCTGACCTCCCGCCAGCCCCACCGGAAGGAAAGGAGGAAGGCGCGCTGCCTGGAAGGGACACCACTTCCACTCGGGACGAAAGCTAAGGGCCTGGGTCCCGCGGGAGGCGCGGCCTCCTCCTGCCTCGCAGGCTTTGTTTACGCCCCACGGCCCGGCCGACGCTCAGTGGTGGAGTGTCCACCCGTAAGCCAGGAGGTCACAGTTCCATTCCCGGTCAAGGCCATGTGCCCGGGTTGCAGGCTCGATCCCCAGGGGGGGTTTGCAAGAGGCAGCCGATCCACGATCCTCTCCCATCAATGGTGTTCCCATCTCTCTCTGCCTCTCCCTTCCTCCCTGAAGTCAATAAAAACATATTTAAAATAAAAAGAAAAAAACCCACGGCAGCGCTGCCCACGGTGACATGGGGACGGGCACTCCCGTGGGAAACAAAGTCTGTGGCGTCTGCTTTGTTCCAGAAGGAGCCTGGGTGTGGGGTGCAGGGAGGCCCAAGGACCGGCAGAGCCGACCACCAGGGCCCCGGGCTCGCACCCCTGGCAGCTCCCGGTCTCACGGCTGGGGCTCTCCATCCAAACGGTGTGAAAAGACGGGGCACAGAGCGCACAGGCAGGCGTTGGGTGCTGCTCTGGGCACTTTGCCTCCAAGGACAAAGCACTCGGCTGGGCCCTGGGTGCCCGTGGGCCCGGCTGACACCTGCTGTGCTGCTGCTCCGAGGAGCTGACTCCGGCCGAGACCCCCCACCCCGCCTCCTGGGGCCGCAGGAGGAGGGAGGGGACGCCAGGCCCAGCACGGCGAGGGGGGAGAGGCTCACCCGTTCTTCTCCGTCTCCGTGTCGGAGAACACCGAGTCGGCACCGCCCACGGGGCCCCCCTCGTCCCCGTCCTCCTCCTCCTCCTCCTCGTCGAAGTCAGAGGTGTTCAGGAAGTCGAAGCTCTCCAGGGCGCTCTCCACCGTCAGGCTCAGGCTGGAGGGCGTGCTGCGGCTCCCGGGCGGCTTGCACTGCAAGGCAGGGGCACCCGCACATCAGAGTCCCCACGCCCCCGACGGGGAGGGGAGGGGGGACACCGTCAGCGTCCCTGCGGCCATGGGACCCAGCGCCCGCTCTCACCCACAGGAACAGGTGACACCGTGTTTGCTGGAAGCTTCTGTTTTATTGTACTTTATTGGCATTAGAAAAACAAACGCATTTAACATATTCGTATAAAAAAAGAACAATGGTGCGTGAAATGGCAGGATCTCATCTGCCCCAAATGAATGCAGAGGGAAGCAAGCAGCTCAAAGACGAGACGAGGACACTGGCCAGGAGAGGAGCACGAGGAAGCTGGCAGGGGTGGGGGTGGGGGGTTTGAGGATCCGTTATCTATTCGCTCTACTTTTGTTGGAAAATTTTTATAATAAAAAGTTCCAAAACATCCCAGTGTTGCCTGTGGACTGAAGGGTCCCAGGTTCGATTCTGGTCAAGGGCATGGTACCTTGGTTTCGGGCACATCCCTAGCGGGAGGAGTGCAGGAGGCAGCTGGTCGATGTCTCTCTCTCATTGATGTTTCTAACTCTCTATCCCTCCCCCTTCCTCTCTGTAAAAAAAAAATCAATAAAATTTTTAAAAAGTTCAAAAACATCCTGGTGTGGCTCACTGGCTGAGCGTTGACCTCTGAGCCAGCAGGTCATGGTTCAATTCCTGGTTAGGACATATGCCTGGGTTTCAAGCTTGATCCCCCGCGTGGGGTATGCAGGAGGCAGCCAATCAATGATTCTCCCTCAGCATTGATGTTTCTATCTCTCTCTCTCCCTCCCTCTCTCTGAAATAAGTAAAAAAAAAAAAATATTTTAAAAGAAAGTTAAAAAAACATCTATTACAACCTACATGTGGTTGGCATCTGCAGAACTTGGGAATCAGAGCTGCCATGTTCCTCTGCCTGGAGCTCAACCCCAAGTAAAACACAACCCAGGAGACAGGGAGGGACAGGAGCAGCCTCCAACTCCACGAGGTCTCGTCTTCCCAAGACGGGAGCTGCTGGCAAGGCCCCTGCTCTGAGGGATGAACAGGACGGCCCCCAGAATCAGAGGGGGGCGCCCTTCACTAACCCACACATCCTGGGCAAGTGGCCTTAACATTCCCAGCACATCCTTTTCCTTTGCTTTGAGGAGACAGGAATGGTGGGCACAGTGAGAGGCCGTGGCTCTGGACAGACTCGCAGACATCACACACAGAACGACGCCCATTGCTACAGGCATGGAGGTGGAGAGAGGTACTTCCCAATAGTCAAGGGTTCGCTGGGGTGGGTGGAACGGGGCAAGTCCTGCAAGGTGGCAGAACTAAGGTCCTCCATGCTGACTTCGGGACACAGGCGGGAAGGGCCTGGTGGGGGCTGTCCCTACGCCCAGGAGGCCACCCAGCACAGGTGCTCATGCATCAGAGCTGGTCAGTCGCCCTCGGGATCTCCTTCCGAGGGGAGGCATCATTTAGTCTCTCATCCTCAAGGTGCTATGCATCCTGGGAACATGAAGGGAAAGAGAGAGAGCCATATCCAGCCGCTGCCGAACACCGGCCAGCGGGCACAAGCCCTCGCCCTAGCCCTCACCTCCGCGGCCCTGTCCGGCCTCTGGGCCACCAACTTCCTGGTCCTCCTGTGCTATGGTTGGCATCTGCAGAACTTGATCGTGTACAATATGGGTGTGTTTACTTATTATTGTTTTTAAAATTAACTTTTTTTTTTAATCCTCACCCAAGGATAGTTTCCCATTGATTTTCAGAAAGAGTGGAAGAGAGAGGGAAAGACAGAGAGAAATATCAATGTGAGAGAAGCGTATCGATGGGTTGCCTCCTGCGTAAGCCCGACCAGGGGCTGGGCCGGGGAGGAGCCTGCAACCAAGGTACGTTGCCCTTGACGGGAATCGAACCCGGGACCCTTCAGTCTGCAGGTCTGTCCACTGAGCCACACTGGCTAGGGCATCATCATTGATGTTTCTATCTCTAGTTCTCTCTTAATTCCTTTCTGAAATCAATATATATATAATTTTTTTAAAAAAATGAAGATCCCTGACTGGTTTGGCTCAGTGGATAGAGCGTCGGCCTGCGGACTGAGGGGTCCCAGGTTCGATTCCGGTCAAGGGCATGTGCCTTGGTTGCAGGCACATCCCCAGTGGAGGGTGTGCAGGAGGCAGCTGGTCGATGTTTCTCTCTCATCGATGTTTCTGAGTCTCTATCCCTCTCCTTTCCTCTCTGTAAAAATCAATAAAATATATTTAAAAAAAAAATAAAACGAGCCATTGTGTCCAGATGTGCGATGGGACAGGATGGAGGGTGAAGACACACTGCTGCCGACGGGACAGGAGCCGCTCCGGCTGCCGCCCTCGCCCTCGCCCTCGCCCTCGCCCTCGCCCCCCGGGCCCCGCGCAGGCTCTTACTTTGAGGACATCGTCCAGGTGCATGACCTCCTGGCTCAGCTGCTGGAACTCCTGGTACTGCTCTTTGTGGGGCTCCAGCGCCAGGAACAGCCCCTGGAAGGCGTCCTCCAGGCTCCCGTCCAGGAAGGCCCGGCCGCCGTCCGGCTCCCCGCCGCCCGCCGGCCCCTCGGACGGCAGCCTCTCGGCCATGGCCGCGGCCGGCGCCTCGGCCGAGGTCAGCCGCTGCACCAGCTGCTTCGTGACGTTGCCCTCGAAGGCGTCCAGCTCCACCGGCTTCAGCTCCGAGGCCTCGTCCGACTCCCGCAGCAGCGCCTCCGCCACGGCCCTCTCCAGGAAGAGGCGGCCGGCGGCCGGCCCCGGGGGCGCCGGGCGGGCCTCGGTGCCGGGGGGCCCCTCCGCGTCCTCCTCGGGGGATGGCGTGGGCCCTGGGCCGCCGGCCGAGGAGCCGCGGGAGGACACGGAGCCCGAGTCCTGGGCGCTGGGGCGCCGGTGCAGCTCGGCGGGGGTCACGGTGATCTCGGGCCGGGCCGGGCCGGTGGGGAGGCAGTGCCCGTTGGGCAGGTCCTCGAAGCTGAGGGACAGCGGCCTCTTCTCCTCGGCCGCCTTGTCGTTCTCGAAGGTGTCGTCCGGGAGGTTCGACTGCGGGAGGGAGGCGTCCGTTAGCGTTTTAAACTTCCCTCCGTGTCGTTTTTTAAACACAGACGGGGTGTTTGGTGTGGCTGACTTCCGGATAAGCCGTAACTCCATTAGAACAGGGAACCAGCCCGGCTGGGGTGGCTCAGTGGTTGAGCGTCGGCCTGTGAACCAGGAGGTCATGGCTAGATTCCAGGTCGGGACATTGCGGGCTCGGTCCCTAGCAGGAGGCAGCTGATCCATGATTCTCTCTCATTAGTGATGTTTCCCTCTCTCCCTCTCCCTTCCTCTCTGAAACCAATAAAACTACTTTTTTTTAAAAAAATGAAATAATAAAACCCAGATCTCACATCACAGGAGCATGTTGGCGGTTGGTTTTGCTACAGCAAACACGCCTCTAAGAAACTCCCTTTCCGTGTGGAGGAGGTGGGCGTCGATGGGAGAATCCTCAGCTTTCTCCTTTTCCCAGGGAAAGGCTGGGGGCCGGGCCAGGAGCTTGTTCCCGAATCCCGGACCTCACGCTGTTCGCAGCCACACGTAGGGCGTACAGCACCAATTAAAAAACCCTTTTTGGCCGAAACCGGTTTGGCTCAACGGATAGAGCATCGGCCTGCAGACTGAAAGGTCCTGGGTTCGATTCCGGTCAAGAGCATGTACCTTGGTTGCGGGCACATCCTCAGTAGGGGGTGTGCAAGAGGGAGCTGATCGATGATTCTCTCTCATCGATGTTTCTAACTCTCTATCCCTCTCTCTTCCTCTCTGTAAAAAATCAATAAAATATATTTAAAAAAATTTAAAAAACCCTTTTTGTACCCCAGCCTGTGAGACTGCACATTAACTATTGAATACATTCCCAGCAGAGCCCACTGGGAAATCCGGGAAATGGGAACTTGAGAACATCTGTGACACTTGCACGCCCCCTACTGGGGATCGGGCCGACACGTGGGCCTGCACCCTGACTGGGGATCAAACTGTGACCTCCTGGTTCCTAGGTCAGCGCTCCCTCACTGAGCCACGCGGGCCGGCTCTGTTCTGCTTTAAGTGGACACAAACACCACTGGAAGCTAAGACCCGCGAACTAAGATCCTCTTTAGAGGAAACAGCTCTCGTGACGCGGGTTTAAGTCCGAGTTCCTCCGGGGCGGCTGTTCCTTGTGAGCCCGGAGCAGAAGGACTCCTGTTCTCGGCCTCAGGCCTTCCGGGCCTTCGTGTCCCTGTCTCGTTTTAAAGGGAAAGCCTGTAACTGTTACCGCGGGTCTCCGCAGAGCAGCGAGAAAAACCACAGCACGGAAGGGGGGCCCTTAGACGAGAAAGACAGACGCCTCTCCCACCAGTTGCATGCGGGACGGAGTCCCCGGCCGGCCGGGGCGGCCCGGGGAGCAGACAGACGAGGACACGCAGGAGACACGGCAAGCACGCAGCCCCCGCCCCGGGGCCACGGCGGCGGCTGGCCGCACTCACGTAGGACTCCAGCACGGCCGGGGGCCTCAGCCTGAGGGAGGGCAGGTCGCACACCGAGCGGCTGCGGTGCAGCTTGGCCAGCAGCGTGTCCTGCAAGGCGCTCAGGGCGGACAGCCGCCGAGGCTTGTCCGGGGAGGGCTGCAGCCACCGCTTCCGGAGCGAGAGGGGGGACAGGGAGAGCGGGGGACAGTTAGGCTTAGCGTCTCAGCAAGCGCTTCAGGTTAGAACACACATGGCCGCACGGCGCTGGCGCGGCGCAGCGGACAGAGCGTCGGCCTGCGGGCCGAGGGGTCCCGGGTTCGATTCCCGTCGAGGGCGCGTGTCTCGGTTGCGGGCTCCTCCCCGGCCCCAGCCCTGGTCCTGGCGCTTGCAGGAGGCAACCAATCGAAGTGTCTCTCTGTCTCTCCCTCTCTCTCCCCCACTCTCGCTAGAAATCAAGGGGAGAATAGCCTCCGGCCGAAACCGGTTTGGCTCAGTGGACGGAGCGTCGGCCTGCGGACTGAAAGGTCCCGGGTTCGATTCCGGTCAAGGGCATGTACCTTGGTCGCAGGCACATCCCCAGTGGAATTGTGCAAGAGGCAGCTGATCGATGTTTCTAACTCTCCATCCCTCTCCCTTCCTCTCTGTAAAAAATCAATAAAATATATTAAAGAAAAAAAGAATATCCTAGCGTGAGGACTCACAGAACAACGAAGAGTGCTGCGAAGGTTTGGGAGGAATCCGTGTTATTGCCGGAGTGGCGGGAGCGCAGGGGAGGGGCCGGAGGGCAAGAGGCCCCGCCTGTGCGCCCGGCAGAGGCTGCTGGGGTGTCGCCGGGGGAGTGGGGGGTGAGCTTCAGAACCGCTTCGCTGGGAATGAGGAGAGGCCAGACGCAGGGTGTCTCCGCCCCAGCCGCCACCCCAGAGCCCACGGGACTTACGAAGAAGGCGTGCTCTTTGAAGGGGGGCGTCTCGGGGGTGCCCTGGCTGTACACGGACATCCTGCGCTGCAGGGCGGCCGCCTTGCTCCCCGTGCCGGCCGACGGGGTCACGTCCTCCACGTCGAAGGGGCTGGAGAGCAGCAGGTCCCGGAGGGCGAGCAGTCAGGCACCTGCGTGACCGACCGACCGACCGACCGACCAACCGACCGACCGACCGCAGGCCCAGAAGCACCTGATTTCACTCAAGGAAATTCTAACCAGTGGAATTCTAATCCATCCGCACACCTAGATATGCCTCTCTCCCGGGAGGCTCAGCGTCTGGAGGGGCCGCCGTGGCTTCCGGAAGAAGCTCCCGGGGTTCTGAGGGCCCCTGAGGGCCGGCCCGCTGGGTCAGCACCGCCTGTCCCCCCCGCGTCCCCGGAGGAACCCAAAGAGGCCACTCACTACCACGCGATCTCCAGGTTCAGCTTGATGGTGCCGAGGTCGTTGATGTCCACGGCCAGCACCTGAGGCCGGGCTGCAAACAGCTCTTTGGTCTCGCAGGTCACGCTGCCCACCAGCAGGTGGGTGGCCAGCCCTTTGACCTCTGTGACCTGGGAGAGAGCGGAGGGGAGGCGCTGGAGGACAGCGGGCAGACGGGCAGGACACGGCCGTCATTGCTTTCTGAGTCACAGCGGACGTCAGAGCTGATGTTGTCAGGGACCGGGCAGCAGGAGGAGCCTGAGGACTCAGCCGAGGCCCCCCCGGCGTGGCTCCCACATGTGGCTCCCACACTCACCCGGCGTGGCCCACCCACTCACCCAGCCGTGGCCCACCCCCCGTGGCCCACCCCGCGTGGCCCGGCAGACCGCGGCAGCCGGGAGCTCTGTACCTTGATGGAGATGAGCCCGGCGATCAGGGGCAGGAACACCGTCTCCTCTCCGTCCCAGCTCTGCCTGCCGTTGACTTCGATTTTGCCTTTCAGCTTCCACCGCTGCCGGCCGTACTTCATGAAGATCTGGGAGACAGCAACGGGCACACGTCCTCACTCGCCTCCAGACCGAGCACCGCCTCCTCCTCCCCCCACCCCCCACGCCTGGGCTCTGAGAATGGCGCCGACGCTGAGTGGGGGGGGGGCCGAGGGAGGGGTCCTTGTCTGGAAGGCTCAGGGTGGAGCGCTTTACAGTCCTACCTGTCCGCTCACAGTCCTACCTGCCTGCTCACAGCCCTCCCCGTCCGCTCACAATCCTCCCCGTCCGCTCACAGTTCTCCCCGTCTGCTCACAGTCCTACCCGTCTGCTCACTGCCCTACCCGTCCGCTCACAGCCCTACCCGTCCGCTCACAGCCCTACCCGTCCGCTCACAGCCCTTCCCGTCTGCTCACAGTCCTACCCGTCTGCTCACAGTCCCACTTCAATGGAACAGCCACGGACCAACTCCCAGGCCCAGCCCCTCACAGAGACGATGGGCAGCAGCTAAAACCTCAGCGGCCAGAGCAAGAAATAAGATGCCCCTTGCCCAGCAGGTGTGGCTCAGTGGTTGAGCTCTGACCCATGAACCAGGAGGTCACGGTCCAAGTCCCGGTGAGGGCACAGGCCTGGTTGCGGGCTCCATCCCCAGTGTGGGGCCTGCAGGAGGCAGCCGGTCCACGATGCTCTCATCACTGATGTTTCTCTCCTCCTCCCTCTCCCTTCCTCTCTAACATCAACACAAACATTTAAAATAAGCTGCCGATCGGCCACTCTGCGGAGCATCATCTCCACTACCAGATCCCGCGTTGGCTCAATAAGCTCTCACAAACGTTTCTGTGTGCGCGTTCCTGTGTCGACAGGAGGACGGTGTCTGCACACCCCTCCCGAGAGCCCAGCGAGGCAGGGACGACGGCGGGACAGTAACAGGAACAGCTCAGCCAACGAGGCTTCCTGCGAAGCTCAGGGCGTCCAGGTAAAAGTTACAGGAGGGCTGTGCTCCTCTCCAAACGCTCCTGCTGGCTTCGTCCCCCCAATAACGAGTGTAAAGAGGAACCAGAGACTTTGAGGAGCGGAGTCCTGGAGACCGGGCCCCTCCCACAGGCCTCCCGCCCCACAGCACTCACCTCGTACTGGTCCCCGGGGCAGAGGCGCGCGAAGCCGGCCAGGCCTGCGAAGGGCAAGCAGTGGAGTGAGGCCCAGGGCACGTCCCCCGCTGCGCGGCCCGCATGGGGGGACTTGGGGAACTCGTGTAGTGATACTTGGGGCCCCCTGTGGGGGGAGCTACTGGGTGGCGTCTCTGTGTGACTCTAAATGCTTAGGTGTGTTGTCCTGGGCGGTGTGCTCAGTGGTCAGAGTTCGGGCCCGTGCACGGAAGGGTCGTGGGTTCGATTCCCAGTCAAGGACATGCCCCTGGGCTGCAGGCTCCATGCCCAGGGGGAGAGAAACATCAGTGATGAGAGCATCCCCAGGGGCAGGCAGGAGGCAGCGGATCCACGGTTCTCTCTCATCATTGATGTTTCTTTTTTTCTTTTTTTTTTAAATATATTTTTATTGGTTTCAGAGAGGAAGGGAGAGGGAGAAAGAAAGAGAAAAACATCAAAGAGAGAATCATAGATTGGCTGCCTCCTGCAAACCCCTACTGGGCATGTTCCCTTGACCGGAATCAAACCTGGGACCCTTCATGACGCTCTATCCACTGAGCCAAACCAGCCAGGGCTTATCATTGGCGCTTCTCTCTCTCTCCCTTTCCCTAAAAACAAACAAACAAACAAACAAATAAATAAAAAATAAATAAATTATTAAAAAAACTATGAGACGGGGCACACCAATAGGCATTGCCAGGTTAAGGGAGGCCTAACAGAGCACCCGCCGTGGCCATGACCCGCCAATAGGTGGCAGCAGTCGCCTGGGGCTGCCCCGGGGACTCCCAGGGAGAAGCAGGCATCAGACACACTCCCAGCCTTTCTGAGTGAGCCGCCTGTGCGGTGGCACGTCCTGGGCTCTCACCCCCCGACGGGCCCCCCAATCGCACTCAGAGGTGACCCTGGGGGGCCTGCCTCCTCCCAGGCCGGTGAGCGCACCCCTCCGACCCCCAGGCCTCCGGCGACCTGACCCCCGGCGCTGGGCCAGCCGGTCACTACTGCACTGGCTCGTCCACCGTCCCCTCCGGGAGGCGTGGGACTCGGGCCGAGGGCCGCCGTCCAGACGCACACAGCCCAGTGCTTGGCCGACAGCAGGAAGTTCTCTCTTTGGGGTTATTTCCCACAGACTTTTAGAGAGAGTGGAAGGGAGGGAGGAGAGACGGAGAGAAACATCGATGTGAGGGACACACACCCACTGGCTGCCTCCTGCACCAGCCCGACGGGGGCCGGGGACCTGCCTGGTCCATGCCCTCCGCCAGAGTCGAACCCGGGACCCTGCAGTCCGCAGGCCAACGCCCTATCCACGGAGCCAGACTGGATCTTTACCGCGGTCCTCTCCCCTCGGGCCCTCGGCGAACCCGGGACCCTGTGCTGGGCGGGGGCAGGGCAGGGGTGGGGACCGGGCAGGGGTGGGTGTGGCGGGAGGAAGTGGTGGCCAGGTCCCCGGGTGATGAAATGTGTGGCCGGGGCGGCTCCGTTCCCAGAATGAACAACAGATAAGCAGGTGGCTCGTGGCAACGCCGGGGGTTCCTGGCCGCGGGAGGACCTTCTCGAGGGGGGCCGTTTCCGCGGGGTGCCCCCAGGAAGCCCGCCCCGCTGCGCTGCGGGGTGTGTGAGACGAGGGAAGTGATGAGAAAGGAGAAGCGGCCCCAGGCCCGAGAGACCCGAGAGAAGCTAGGGAGAGGGCCCAGCGGGCACAGCGGGCCCAGCGGGAGGGGGCAGGGGTGGGAGCCACGGGAAGGTCTCCGTCCCGGTCAGGAGCCCACGGCGGCCGGGGATGCTGCTGAGCAGGGTGGCGAGGTCCCCGGGGGGCCGGGGGGGGGGGGAGTCTGGCCCCGGCCCCAGCCTCTCCCGGGCCAGCAGCCCTGCAGCCGCAGACCCGGTGGACGGGCCCCTGGCTGCCACCCGCTCCCAGGCCCCTCCCTGGAGCTGCCGCGGTCCGGCCTGGGGCTCAGGCTCTTTGCTGTGGATCCTCCCGAGGACACTTTCCCATTGCCTTTTAGGGAGTGTGGGAGGCAGAGGGAGAGACAGAAACGGCGATGAGAGACACAGGAATCGGCTGCCTCCTGCATGGCCCCGCCCAGGGCCCGGGCCAGGGAGGAGCCTGACGCCAGGTACGTGCCCTTGTCCGGAATCGAACCCGGGACCCTTCGGTGCACAGGCCTGCGCTCTGTCCACTGAGCCAACGGGCCGGGGCCAGGGTTCGGTTCCGATGAGCCGGGGCGGAGGGCCAAGCAGGGGGACGGGGCGGTGTGGTCAGGCATACCTTTCATCCGGATGCAGAACTCGCCCAGCAGGCCCTCCAGCTCCACCTCGATGGCGCACATGTTCTGGGGGGACAGAGGTGGGCGGTCAGGGCTCGGCAGCTTCCCGTCGGCTCCGACCCACGGCTCCGGCCCGATCCCTCTGAGCCGCCGCTGGGGAGGGATCTTCACCGAACGCCCCCAGGCCCGGCGAGCCTCCCTTAGAACATGCTAGATGACGTCCCAAGCCGACGACCAGAACGCGGGCGTGCTTTTTTGTTTTTACGGAGCGGATGCTTTTCCGGGGGTTTTCAGAGAGAGTGGGAAGGAGAAACATCGACGGGAGGGAGACACATGGATGGGCGGCCTCCACGTGCGCCCCAGCCGGGGCTGGGACAAGCCTGTAACCCAGGGACATGCCTGGAATGGAACCCGGGACCCTTCCGTCGCTGGGCTGACGCTCTGTCCACGGAGCCACACCAGCTGGGGCTGGAGGCCGGGCATTCTGTGAGAACCGGCCCGAATGCCACAAAACGGCCGTTTCGTGGGGGAACGTGGACGGAGGAGACGGGTGGAAGGTGTTCGGTGAACTGGGTTGTGTCCTGACTTTAAAGACAAAGAAGCTAAAACGAGATGCTACGGGGCCAAACGGGGGGATGTGAAAACGGGGATACCGAGTGACTCCAGTATAAATGACCTTTCTTAGCCGGGGTCACGGTGTGCATGTTTATGTGGGGGACATGCCTGTGACAGAGTTACCACGAAGACATCCGGGTGATGCCGGGACCGGTGTGGCTCAGTGGATAGACCATCAGCCTGCGGACTGAAAGGTCCCGGGTTCGATTCCAGTCAAGGGCATGTACCTTGGTTGCGGGCACATCCCCAGTGGGGGGGGGGGTGCAGGAGGCAGCTGGTCGATGTTTCTCTCTAATCCATGTTTCTAACTCTCTATTTCTCTCCCTTCCTCTCTGTAAAAATCCAATAAAGTATATTAAAAAAGAAAGGAAGAAAGAAAGAAAGAAAGAAATGAAAGAAACCCGTGTGAGCCCAGCCAGTGTGGCTCCGGGGCTGAGCGTCAACCTAGGCACCAAGAGGCCAGGGTTCGATTCCCAGCCAGGGCACAGGCCTGGGTCGTGGGTTCCATCCGCAGGTGGGGCCTGCAGGAGGCAGCCCACCCATGATTCTCTCTCATCACGGATGTTTCTCTCTCCCTCCCTCTCCCTTCCTCTCTGAAATCAGTAAAAAACACCTTCAGAAACAAAACCAGCACCCGCACAGTGGCCCTGCGGCCAGCCGCCCAAGAGGTCCCCGCCAGAGGCCGAGCAGGTGCCCGCCCGGGGAGTGTCCCTCGGACCCGCCCGGGCGATGACGTCGCCGGGAAACCTGACCCGGAGCGCACGGCCTCAATAATTCAGCCGTTGGGTCAGCCGGGTATCCGGTGGCCCCGCGGGCTCAGCCTCCGGCGCCACCTGCTCGGCCCCGGGGACCGGGAACCAGGGCAGCCACTCTTTGTCTGCTGCGGGGCCGGAGGGCACTGCTGCCCGCCCGCGGGAGGGCTCGCTGACCGCCTGCCGGTGCTCCCACCACCGCCTGCTCCGCCCCGGGAGTCCGCACGTAAAGGGAAAAACGGTACACAGCCCGGCCGGCGTGGCTCCGGGGCTGAGCATCCACCTCGGAACCAGGAGGTCAGGGTTCAGCTCCAGTCATGGCCCAGGCCCAGTTGTGGGCTGGACCCCCAGGGTGGGGCGTGCAGAAGGCAGCCGATTCGTGGTTCTCTCTCATCAGTGATGTTTCCCTCTCCTTCCTCTCTGAAGCCAATAAAAATAAAAATATTAAAAAAACAAGCCGGGACCAGTTTGGCTCAATGGATAGAGCGTCGGCTTGGGGACTGAAGGGTCCTGGGTTCGATTCCGGTCAAGGGCATGTACCTTGGTTGCGGGCATATCCCCAGTAGGGGGTGTGCAAGAGGCAGCTGATCGATGACTCTCTCTCATCGATGTTTCTAACTCTCTATCTCTGTCCCTTCCTCTCTGTACAAAATCAATAAAATATATATATATTTTTAAAAAGAGTTATATAAAAAAAACAACAACAAAAAAAAAACAAAAAGCAAGGGAGACAGAGTGAGACTCTGTGTGAGGAGTGAGTGAGGCGGGGCAGGCGTCGCCGTGCTCGGCGGGACCCGGGCGGCCGGCTGGGGGGCACCCACCTCCGTGTACTCCTTGTGGCTCCGGTGCACCTCGGCCAGGCTCTCCCGCGCGGCCTTGCTGTGCGGGGACGAGGCGAAGGCCTGCTTCATCTTGTTGGCGCCGTCCTGCAGGCGCCTCTGGATGCAGTAAGCCTCGTAGAGCTCGTCCACCTGCCAGACCAAGGGGAGGCCGGCGCTGAGCCCCGGGGGCGCTGAGCTCTGGGGGCGCTGAGCTCTGAGGGCGCTGAGTCCGGGGGCACTGAGCTCTGAGGACGCTGAGCTCTGAGGGCGCTGAGCTCTGAGGGCGCTGAGTCCCGGGGGCACTGAGTACCGGGAGCGCTGAGTCCCAGGGGCACTGAGTCCTGGGGGCGCTGAGCTCTGAGGGCGCTGAGCTCTGAGGGCGCTGAGTCCCGGGGGCACTGAGCTCTGAGGGCACTGAGTCCCGGGGGCACTGAGTCTGGGGGCGCTGAGTACCAGGGGCGCTGAGCTCTGAGGGCGCTGAGTCCCGGGGGCACTGAGTCCCGGGGGCACTGAGTCTGGGGGCGCTGAGTACCAGGGGCGCTGAGCTCTGAGGGCGCTGAGTCCCAGGGGCACTGAGCTCTGAGGGCGCTGAGCTCTGGGGGCGCTGAGCTCTGAGGGCGCAGAGCTCTGGGGGCGCTGAGCTCTGAGGGCGCTGAGTCCCGGGGGCACTGAGCTCTGAGGGCACTGAGCTCTGAGGGCACTGAGTCCCGGGGGCACTGAGTCTGGGGGCGCTGAGTACCAGGGGCGCTGAGCTCTGAGGGCGCTGAGTCCCGGGGGCACTGAGTCCCGGGGGTGCTGAGCGGGGTGGGGACCCGCGGGAGGAGCGCACCCTCTCAGAGGGAGGCCGTGACCCGGCCTTCACTACCAGGGTCCCCTTCCCCGCCAAGACCGACTGTGCTCTGAGCCGCTTTCCCAAGTGCAGAGGGGGAAGGAGCGGAGTACAGGTGGTCCAGGGGAGACAGGTGTGTCCCCTGTGCACGCCACAGGTGTGGGCTACCTGTACATGCCACACCTGTGGGTTACCTGTACACGCCACAGGTGTGATCCCCTGTACACGCCACACATGTGATCCCCATGTACACACATGTGCGGGTTACCTGTACACGCCACAAGTGTGGGGCAATGAAGGCTGGTGCCTCCTGTGCTCACAGGAAGGGGTGATATGTTGTTTTTTAAATAAATGTATAAATATATATATATATATATATATATATATATATATATACACACACTATTGATTTCAAAGAAGGGGGAGAGAGAGAGAGAGAAAGATCCATGATGAGAGAGAGTCACGGATCGGCTGCCTCCTGCACGCCCCCCACTGGCAATGGAGCCTGTGACCCAGGCCTGTGCCCTGGCCGGGAATCGAACCCTGACCTCCTGGTTCCCAGGCTGGCGCTCAGCCCCAGCCCCGCGGCCGGGCCGGCCGGGCGAGGTGAAGACCTGCAGGCGCCATCGTCAGGTCGCCGTGCGAGGGGTCACAGTGACAGCCGCACACTGTGCTTACGGGGCACAGGAGGCTCCTTCCTGCAAAGGGCGCTGGCGAGTTCTCGGCTCACATCAATGTTTCTCTCTCTCTCTCTCCTTTTCTCTTTGGAATCAATGGAAAGCCCCCTCGGGTGGGGTTAAAACAAAAAAGAAAGAGGGAGTCTAGGCCTGGAGGGGTGGCCCGTCTGTGCCCACATCCCTGACCGGGGCTGGCGTGGAGGTGGTGGCCACACGGAGAGCTAAGCGGGGACCCGGGTGAGCTGGGCCAGGGCGATGCCAGGCCCGGGCGGGGTCCGAGATGCGGGTTCACCAGGGCAGGGCAGGGCCAGGAACCTGAACTTCCACCTGCTCGGCGCCCAGCGTTCCGACGCGGGAGGTGTGCCATCCACAGGCAGGAACATGCGCAGGAACATGGGCGCCTCCATCCTGGCCGCCCGCGTGTCCCCCGGGGGTTCCGGAGACGCCCCCGTCCCCACCGGCGTCTCCACGACCGTGACCCGGCCTGCTCCTTTGCTTTCAGAGAGCAGCCTGTTCTCTCTCCGCCCCGGGCGGCCTCTCTGAGCCGACGGTCCCGCTCCGGGATGGCGGAGGCTGCCAGCGAGCGGATTAGGGGCCTGCGGCAGCCTGCAGGGACCTGCAGACGCTCTCCCGCCCGAGACCGAGACCGCGGGACCCACGGGGACGGACGGGCGGAGAAACCGCCTGCCTCGCGGGAGCCGCCTCCTGGCTGTTTTCAAACCGAACAGAGTCACCTGTCCGCGCCTGCCGGCCCCACCAGCGCCTTCCAGCCGGCTCAGCGGAAAGGGTTGCGGGGTCCCGAGCGGGAGCTGCAGAGGAGGCGCAGCCACGTGGGAGCCATCTCAGGGCCATGAAAGGGAGGGATTGTGGGGCCGGCTGGCGGGGCTCAGGGGTTGAGCGTTGACCTAGGAACCAGGAGGTCAGGGTTCGATTCCCGGTCAGGCACAGGCCCGAGTTTCGGGCTCCGTCCCCAGTAGGGGGCAGACAGGAGGCAGCCGATCCATGATTCTCCCTCGTCATGGATATGTGTCTCTCTATCCCTCTCCTTTCTTCTCTGAAATCAATAATAATGATAATAATGATGATAATAATAATCAAGAAATCCTCCCTGAACTACCTGCCAAGCTCAGGCCAAAGGGGGGCTGACCAGGGACCTGAAAACCAGGCAAAGGCGGGGGAAGGGGAGGAGGGGAGGGGTGGCAGTTACCTTGCTGATGTGAAACTCCAGGCGCCGCATGTACCGCTCGATCGTTTTAATTTGCTGGAAGGAAAGGGAGCCGTGAGAGAGGACGGTCATCACCACGCAGACGGTCCGGCCTGTGACCGACCGGCCAGCCTCCTCTCGCTCGCCATGCCCCGTCCTGTCCCTGCAGCTACTCAGCCCCAGCCCGAACCGGAGGGCACTTCCGTCCGCGCCCCGAAGGGGCTGCCGGCCATGGGGCGGGGCGATTCGCACCCGGGAGGCCATTGGTGGCTCCCTGGGTCTCCGTGGGGACGGCAACACCTGAGTCCCCCGGAGGGCGGAACCCGTGCTCTCAGCTCGGAGAGGGACGCCCTTCGCTGCACACCGACTCTGAACAGGAGGTGCGTCGTCCCATCGCGACGCCTCTCGTCCCTGACGGCTGTCCCCATTGCACCCGCTGCCTCCCCGCGCCCGGAGCAGACTGCACCGCACACGGGCGCGGAGAGCTGAAACGCCCCATTGGAAACCGGCTTCCCTCCGGGGCCGGACACCAGTTCTCGGGGACGGGACCGTGCACAGCCTCCCCGGAATCGCCGGCTTTCTTGTGGAGCGTAAACTCAGTGCATTTTCCAGTCCAGGCGTCTGGTCTGGTGACCGGGGGCAGCTGGGATTTGAGAAGACGGGCAGGGCCTCCCCATGCCCGGGACGTCCTAAATGTCTCCGTGCCCGACGCCAACCGCCAGGGCGTTTTCTGGGTCTGGAGGTGGCGGTCCTGACGCCTCAAACTCAGGTAAAGGTTTAGAACGGTCACCGGCTCTCTAGGCTCTCTGAACCTCAGAGGGGACCCCGGGCTTACGTCCCCCCCTCCCCCCCTCCCCCCCAATCACAGAACGGTCACTCACCTTGTCCAGGTCGTACAGCACACCCTGAAATAAAACATAAAAACAATTAAAAGTTGTCTTCTGCAAAAACCGCCACCGACGTCAGCAGAGGGATTCGGGCTGCGGGCCTGCACGGCCGTGAAACAGGACCAGCCACACAGGTCTGCTGGGATTTCTGGCATTTGCTTTAAAAGAGTAAAAATCTGGGTTATTTTAAATACCAGTGAGAGTGCTTTTTCGTTTTTGTTAACCCTCATCCGAGGGTATTTTTCTATGGATTGTTTCTAGAGAGAGTGGAACGGAGCAGGCGAGACACACACACAGAGAGAGAGAGAGAGATTGAGAGAGAGAGAGAGAGAGGGAGAGAGAGATCTCCTTGATTGCCTCCCACACATGTCCTGACCCAAACCTGCAACCAAGGTACACGCCCTTAACCAGAATCGAACCCCTGGCCCTTCAGGCTGCAGGCTCACACTCTAACCACTGAGCCAAACCGGCCAGGGTGGGTCGGCTTTTCTGGAAGGTTCTTCTTTGTATCGATCTCCATCCAGTAGGAAAAGACACTTAGCCAACCCCGACCCCCCAAAAACAAAAACACCCCACAAAAAACAAACCTGCAAAAACCCACACCAGCAACCAACCAACACCCACGGGGTCAGCCCGGCGCGGCACCCACCAGGCGGGAGTTCCTCCTCATGTCCTTCAGCTGCCCCGCCAGCTTGTCCAGCTCCGTCTGGTGGACCTCCAGGTACTCGCTGCGAACACAGGAGGAGGCGACTGAACACGGCGGCCGCTGCGGATGGACGGGCCCGGCTCCCTCCGAGGGGGGCCTGGGCCTCACTGGACGGGCCCGGGTGCCGGCTCCCTCCGAGGGGGGCCTGGGCCTCACTGGACAGGACCCGGGTGCCGGCTCCCTCCGAGGGGGCCCTGGGCCTCACTGGTCGGGCCCGGGTGCCGGCTCCCTCCGAGGGGGGCCTGGGCCTCACTGGACGGGCCCGGCTCCCTCCGAGGGGGGCCTGGGCCTCACTGGACGGGACCCGGGTGCCGGCCTCCCTCCAAGGGGGGCCTGGGCCTCACTGGACGGGACCGGGTGCTGGCTTCCTCCGAGGGGAGGGCCTGAGCCTGGCCCCGGGGCAGCGTGTGGGGACGAGGGGCTGTTGTTCCCAATCTCTCCACAGGCTTAAGCTCTGGCGCTGCCTCCGGACGGTCCAGGTGGCCAAAGGGAGACCCCCAGGAGGTGAGGGCCGAACGAAACACCGGCGTGGAGGGGAGAGGTGGGGGGTGGGGGCAGGGATGGCGAGTGGGGGTGGCTGGGTCTGGCCCTCAGAGCTCTGTCTGGCTCCACACAGCGTGCCTGGGGTGGGGGATGTTCCAGAACCGTCTTCAGCCGGCGCTGAAGCGGACCTCCTGTGCACACGGCTACACGAAGCCAGGACTCCACGGGGCCAGTCACACACATGGCTCCTTCCCCTTCTCACTGACTGGGCATCACCCCGAACCCCAACAAATGTCCCATCTTTGGGGTTAATCTAAGGCTTCCTCGGTGATGGTGCAAGAATAAAACATCTACGCCCGCCTGGCATGGCTCAGGGGTTGAGCATTGACCTATGAACCCGGAGGTCAGAGTTCGATCCCGGTCAGGGCACAGGCCCAGGTTGCAGGCTCCATCCCCAGTGGGGGGCGTGCAGGAGGCAGCTGATCCATGATTCTCTCTCATCACTGATGTTTCTCTCTCTCCCTGTCTCCCTTCCGCTCTGCGGTCAGTAAAAATGTATTATTATTATTTTTTTTAAAAAAGAAAGAATAAAACATCTTCTACAGAAACGGACATTTTGAAGTGACCTCGTGAGCCTCGTTGCTCCCGTGGCCCCGCCCCCGGTGTCGGGGACAGAAAGGGGCCACAGAGGGGGGCGCACTTACTCGAGCCCGCCCTTCAGCGCCCGGTACACCTCCTCCACGCGGGCGGGCTGCGGCTCCTTCGGGGGGCTGCTGTTCTTGTGCCCCAGGTTGTGCATCTTCTTCAGCTTGGCCTGGGGCTTCTTGAGCGCAGACACATTCTCGATGAAGGAGTTACACCTGCGAGAGGGGGCAGAGCAGGAATGGCAGCTCGGGGGCGACCGGAAGGATTCTGCGGGAGAGATGCCTCCCGTCGTCTCCTGTTTGTGACCGTGTCTTTGGGGGAAGGCACGGCCCGGGCGGAAGGACGCCGAGGGGCCAGCCGACGCTGCGTTTCTCGGCGTTAGCGTAAGCGCTGAGGTCTGGGAGCGTCCTGGGCAGCGGCTTCCTCCAGTCAGGGGACACACGCTCCGAGGAAAGGCGTCCCCTGTAACCAGGACCCCACAGGGAACCAAGGCACCACGCCCCCCAGCGGAAATAAGAATCAGGCAGAAGAACATACACCGACTGAAAAAAAACACGTGCGTTAGCAACAGCAGGCATGAGCATCTCCTAGTTAGACTGGGTGTGAGCGACTGCCTTTGTGATAAAGCGCCGTAAGCAGGACACACGGCTGCCCCTGCGTGGTGTGAAGGCGCGGCACACAGGGCTGGGCTGACGGGGTTTTCTTAAGCTCCGTTTCCACGGAGGACGTTCGGCTTGGGTTTAACCTAAAGCCCGGTGTCCCTGTGAGCGGCAGGGAGGCGGCCAGGATCCAGCCACGCCACGCCTGGGTGCTTCTCCAAAGGAAACAAAAGCACTAGCTCACGGTGATTCACACGCCCCCGTGAGGACAGGGTGCGCGGGGGAGTGAGAGAATGGAGACGCTGCGATGGGCCTGCGTACGTACGATGGAGTCTGACTCATCGTGCCCTTTGGGACGTACTGAGGGACCCAGAGAGTGTCATGCCGAGGGAGAGAAGTCAGACGGGGAAAGACAAATGCCGAATGATGTAACTTCCAGGTGTAATGTAAACACACACACACACACACACACACACACACACTCAGCCCAGAGATGGAGAACAGCTTGGAGGTCGGTCACCAGAGGTGGTGGTGGGTGGTGAGCTAGAGAGGTGAAGGGGGTCAAAAGGAAAAAAAAAGGGGTGTGGGGAGGAAAGGTAGCAAACCAAACGTGTAAGAAAAGGACAACATAGGATGTTGCAATGGATAAGTGACCAGCCTTTCCTGTTTTGTACAAAAACATGCAATGTCCACCCGCCAACAGCCACAGGCGTGACCCAGGTATTCCCCAAAGGGAACAAGAAAGGGGAAAACCCTGAGCGGACCCCTGACCTCACGGGGGGGGGGACGGACGTGGAACACCGGAGGCGGTTTTTACAAAGCGCCCCCTGACGACGGAGGCGTGGGGACGGCGGGTCTGCGTAGCTCGGAGGGGACACACGGCTCAAACACAGGAAGCTTGGGTGATGTTTATATCAAAAGACCTAAAAATGGGGGGGGGGAGTAGGGAGAGCTACCCCCGAATACTCGTAGCTTTTCCTATATCTCCAGCCACCTCCTTTGCAGGAGAAAATCTGAGTGATGGAACAGAAACGTCACAGCCCGGCTGGTGTGGCTCAGTGGTTGAGCATTGACCTATGAGCCGGGAGGTGACGGTTCGATTCCCGGTCAGGGCACAGGCCCGGGTTGCAGGTTTGATCCCCAGTGGGGGGCGTGAAGGAGGTAGCAGATCCGTGATTTTCACCTTTGATATTTCTCTCTCTTTCCCTCCCTCTCTCTCTCTCTTTCTCTCTCCCTCTCCCTCTCCCTCTCCCTCCCTCCTTTCCTCTCTAAAATCAATTAACAAATACATATATTTTTTAACAAGAAAAGAATTCACAGTGCTCCATTGGGGTGGCTGACATATTTTCCAAGGCAGAAATGAAAGTCAGAGTGTGTCCATGTGCACGTGTGTGCGTTTACACGTGTGCGTGTATGTTTGCATGTGCGCGTGCATGCTCGCTTGCACGTGCCGAGGCCGGTGCACACATGCTCTGCTCAGCACCAGAGCTCGCTGCTCCTCAGCCGCACCCGGGGGAGCCCCAACTTGCCTGGACCGCCGCTCCTGCAGGCCGCTGAACCCCGCGAAGGACTGGCTCCGGATGATGCCATTGGGCCCTCCGGGCGAGAAGGACTGGGTCCCCACCAGCATGATCTCGGGGAGTCTGGCCGGCAGCCCTGGAAGAGGAGAGTCAGGGCAGGTTCAGACAGACAGCCCTACGCGTGTCAGCTGCCAGGCAGGTGCACGGGGGCAGGTGAGTCAGGAGCCTGCCGGCTGGGACCCGCCGCCCAGGCCTCCCTGAGCGGAGGGCGCCCTCAGGGGACGCAGAGGCTGGCCTGGGGGACAGGGACAGCCCAGAAACAAAGGCCCCCCATCATGGGCACCCGGTCTCCGGGGACTTGTTTTTTAAACAAGCTTCCACCACGCCTTCAGACCGACCTCCCCCTGGCTCCTTCCTCCACGACAGTGACTTCTCACTGCCCTGAAGAGGAAGCAGGCGCTCTCTCTTGTTTTTTCATATTACGTACATTTTTGGCTCTTATCCTTTTAATAATTTTTTTTAAAAATTGAGTTATGCCACCAAAACTGGTTTGGCTCAATGAATAGAGCGTCCGCCTGGGGACTGAAGGGTCCGGGGTTTGATCCCGGTCAAGGGCATGTACCTTGGTTGTGGGCACATCCCCAGTGGGGGGTGTGCAAGAGGCAGCTGATTGATGACTCTCTCTCATCGATGTTTCTAACTCTCTATCTCTCTCCCTTCCTGTCTGTACAAAATCAATAAAATATATTAAAAAATTGAGTTATGCTCAGCTGGTGTGGCTCAGTGGTTGAGCATCGACCTATGAACCAGGAGGTCATGGTTCGGTTTGATTCCCAGTGAGGGCGCAGGCCCGGGTTTTGGGCTCCATCCCCAGTGGGGGGCGTGCAGGAGGCAGCCGATCCATGATTCTCTCTCATCACGGATGTTTTTCTCTCTCCCCTTCTCCCTTCCTCTCTGAAATTAATAAAATGTGTGTGTGTGTGTGTGTGTGTTTTAATTGAGTTATTTACATCCAGTCTGTCGGTTGTGTAAGCACAAGCAGTCAGTCCCAGCACCCGAACATCCCCGTACCCATGTGGAGAGACTCCCGGTCCCAGCCAGCCATGGATGCTTTTAAAGCTTATTTTTCAAAATAAATGTTAAATTACACACACACACACACACCCACACACACCCACACACACCCACACCCCACAAACACGTTGTGATGTTTACTCCTTTCAACAGCAGCAGCAAAAGCACCGCGAGGCCACGCCAGCGCCCAGGCTGTCCGCCTCGCTTTCAAACCCCGTGTCGCAGGCTGCACCCAGCGGGACGCCCCGCACCGGGCGCCTTCAGAGAGGAGTGAGGGACACTCGGCTCTCTTCCTCCCCGGAGGGTCCTTGTGGGTGTTTTTTTTTTTTTTTAATCTTTTTATTGATATTTAGAGCCAGAGGAAGGGGGAGGGGGAGAGAGAAACATCAATGATGAGAGAGAATCACTGACCGGCTGCCTCCTGCACGCCCCCCACTGGGGACGGAGCCCACAGCCCGGGCCTGTGTTCCTACAGGGAACCGAACGAGCTCCCTCTAGGTTCATGGGTCGATGCTCAACCACTGAGCCACACCGGCCCGGCCTCCGCTGAAGTGTATTTGGAAGATAAGCTCCAGCTGCTGTGGAGACAGGAGCGCCCCCCAAAGAAAGCCGGACGGTGGAGGTGGCGATGAGAACCCCAGAGAAGAGAGAAGAAAGGGGAGAGGGAGCCGCAGCCAGAGGCGCACCCGCTCAGTGCCCCGCACCCGCTCAGTCCCCTGCACCCGCTCAGTCCCCGCACCGCTCAGTCCCCTGCACCCGCTCAGTGCCCCGCACCCGCTCAGTCCCCTGCACCCGCTCAGTCCCCTGCACCCGCTCAGTCCCCTGCACCCGCTCAGTCCCCCGCACCCGCTCAGTGCCCCGCACCCGCTCAGTGCCCTGCACCCGCTCAGTCCCCTGCACCCGCTCAGTCCCCTGCACCCGCTCAGTGCCCCGCACCCGCTCAGTCCCCTGCACCCGCTCAGTCCCCGCACCGCTCAGTCCCCTGCACCCGCTCAGTGCCCCGCACCCGCTCAGTCCCCCGCACCCGCTCAGTGCCCTGCACCCGCTCAGTCCCCTGCACCCGCTCAGTGCCCCGCACCAGCTCAGTGCCCTGCACCCGCTCAGTCCCCTGCACCCGCTCAGTCCCCTGCACCCGCTCAGTCCCCTGCACCCGCTCAGTGCCCCGCACCCGCTCAGTCCCCTGCACCCGCTCAGTCCCCTGCACCCGCTCAGTCCCCCGCACCCGCTCAGTCCCCTGCACCCGCTCAGTCCCCCGCACCTGCTCAGTCCCCTGCACCCGCTCAGTCCCCCGCACCCGCTCAGTGCCCTGCACCCGCTCAGTGCCCCGCACCCGCTCAGTCCCCTGCACCCGCTCAGTGCCCCGCACCCCGCTCAGTCCCCTGCACCCGCTCAGTGCCTGCACCCGCTCAGTCCCCTGCACCCGCTCAGTCCCCTGCACCCGCTCAGTGCCTGCACCCGCTCAGTCCCCTGCACCCGCTCAGTGCCCCGCACCCGCTCAGTCCCCCGCACCCGCTCAGTCCCCTGCACCCGCTCAGTCCCCTGCACCCCGCTCAGTGCCCCGCACCCCGTTCAGTCCCCGCACCCCGCTCAGTCCCCGCACCCGCTCAGTCCCCTGCACCCGCTCAGTCCCCTGCACCCGCTCAGTCCCCCGCACCCGCTCAGTCCCCTGCACCCGCTCAGTCCCCTGCACCCGCTCAGTCCCCCGCACCCGCTCAGTCCCCCGCACCCCTCTCAGTGCCCTGCACCGCTCAGTCCCCTGCACCCGCTCAGTCCCCCGCACCCGCTCAGTCCCCTGCACCCGCTCAGTCCCCTGCACCCGCTCAGTCCCCCGCACCCGCTCAGTCCCCCGCACCCGCTCAGTCCTCTGCACCCGCTCAGTCCCCTGCACCCGCTCAGTCCCCCGCACCCGCTCAGTGCCCTGCACCCGCTCAGTCCCCCGCACCCCTCTCAGTGCCCTGCACCGCTCAGTCCCCTGCACCCGCTCAGTCCCCTGCACCCGCTCAGTGCCCCGCACCCCGTTCAGTCCCCGCACCCGCTCAGTCCCCTGCACCCGCTCAGTGCCCCGCACCCGCTCAGTCCCCGCACCCGCTCAGTCCCCTGCACCCGCTCAGTCCCCCGCACCCGCTCAGTCCCCTGCACCCGCTCAGTCCCCTGCACCCGCTCAGTCCCCCGCACCCGCTCAGTCCCCTGCACCCGCTCAGTGCCCCGCACCCGCTCAGTGCCCCGCACCCGCTCAGTCCCCTGAACCCGCTCAGTCCCCTGCACCCGCTCAGTCCCCTGCACCCGCTCAGTGCCCCGCACCCGCTCAGTGCCCCGCACCCGCTCAGTCCCCTGCACCCGCTCAGTCCTCTGCACCCGCTCAGTCCCCTGAACCCGCTCAGTGCCTGCACCCGCTCAGTCCCCCGCACCCGCTCAGTCCCCTGCACCCGCTCAGTGCCCCGCACCCCTCTCAGTGCCCTGCACCCCACTCAGTGCCCCGCACCCCGCTCAGTCCCCCGCACCCCGCTCAGTCCCCTGCACCCCTCAGTCCCGTGCACCTGCTCAGCCACTTGCTCCCTGGGGTCCAGACTCACCAGTGTGGACCGACCCATGGCCACGCGCAGCCGCCCAGGCGGGGCCCCAGACAGTGCCCTGGGGTGCCCGGCAGGGACCTGTCTATCGCCCCGCCCAGACTCAGGGAAGCCGCGGGTACCCAGGGGGACAGGAGGAGAGGGAACACCGCTACTGGGATGTGCACCGGGGAGGCCGCCCGCACAGGGACGGGGTCCCCAGAGGCCGGACGCCAGCCCCTCCCCAAGGAAGAAGGGCCCGGATCCCAGCTTTCCTGCAGGTCCAGGCGCTGACTCACCGCGGGGCACTCACCAGCGCTTTGATCCGGGCGGGACGTGGGGGCACCCACTCCTAGGAGGTGGGGATGGGGCTTCTGCTTGGGACATTCTCAGGAATGTTCCCTCCCACCCCCACCCCAGAATCTGTGCTTAAAAAAATAATATATTTTTTTATTTACTTCAGAGAGGGAGAGGGAGAGAGAATCATGGATTTGCTGCCTCCTGCACACCCCTCACCCTTCCTTCCTAACCATGCATTCCCCCACTCCTCGCCCGCCGCATCCCCCTCTCCCCCCTCTCCCCCCCCCCCCCCCCCCCCCCCCACACACATCTGGTCCAGGAGCAGGAGTACAATTCCGTCTGGAAGAGGCCCGCAGGCCAGATGTAAATAGCCTGCTAAGGGCAATGAGTATTTGGGGCGAATCCTAAAAATAGGAGTCTGCTTATTACACAGCGGCAAGGTGCCTATTACGGACAGGCGACTAATGAGAGAGAGAGAGAGGGAGAGAGAGAGAGAGAGAGGGAGAGGGAGAGAGAGAGAGAGAGAGAGAGAGGGAGAGGGAGAGGGGAGGGGGAGAAACATCCAGGATAAGAGAGAATATGGATCAGCCGCGTCCTGCACGCCCCCTCCTGGGGATGGAGCCCACAACCCAAGCCTTAACCAGAATCGAACCTGGGACCCCTCCTGTTGAACCAACAGGACAAAGGTTGATGGATGTTTCTCTTTCCCTTCCCCTGTATATTTTTATTGATTTCAGAGAGGAACGGAGAGGGAGAGAGAGAAACATCAAAGGTGAGAGAGAATCATTGAGTGGCTGCCTCCTGCATGCTCCCTAATGGGGATCAAGCCCACAACCAGGGCCTGTGCCCTTGACCGGAATCGAACCCGAGACCCCTCAGTCCCCAGGCCAACGCTCTATCCACTGAGCCAAACCAGATAGGGCAAAGACACTGTGCCTGGCACGGTGTCCGCTGACCGCATGGAGGCAGGTAGGACCCGGGATCGGACTGTAAATACAGCCTGTGGGGTAGCTCACCGCAGAGGAAGGCGAGGACATTATCTGAAAGCTTTTCCGATTCAGCCTTCGGAATCGCGCGAACACCTATTTCCTACGGCGGTTAACTGGTTCCTGGCCTCCGAACCAGCAGGAGAATACAGCTCAGCCCGGCCGTGTGCATCGACCTATGACCCAGGAGGTCAGGGTTCGATTCCCGGTCAGGGCACATGGCAGGG